CCTAGCATGGTACTCCTCAGCAGTGCATATTCACGATCCTGCTTCATAAGATTCGAACCCAGGCTCAGTGGTCTAGAGGTTAAGTGGTCGTACGCGAGACTGATAGGTTCTTGGTTTCGAATCTCGCGAGGCTGGATCGTGGATGTGCAATACTAAGTGTTATAACGCTTAAACGATTATCTACACTAGATCCCTTCCAGTGTCTATTCTACAGGACTTCAACACAACTCAGATCAAGAACACGTAACTAGCCTGATCATAACGTGAATATATTTTCATACCAAAAACGGACACAATCCACAACAATGAACAATCAATAATAAGTGTGTGTGTGTCACAATAATAAGCATAAGGGAATATATAACTTGTCAGACTATCTACATGTCTGACTAAGCAGACAACCAATCATGATCAAGATCATTCTCGCCCACACATCACTGAGGCATCCCATACTAGGACGAAACGGTCGTTTAGTGCTTCCAGGTTTTCCATATTAGTCTAGCTTCAAATGACTCATGATTTCAACTATTAAGATTACTATAATATCCACAAAATATTACTTCTGATAATAAATAATTATTACATAGATTTAGTTTATATACCGAAATCGTTCAAAGTCATTTCAGACTGAGTTGCTTTACAGTCATCTGAATACTACTATTAAAAACTAAAGTAACAGCAAAATGCTGATTTCTCGACATAGTGTGTATCCTTCCGAATGAGATTATTGGCTATGAGCTCTTTACACTGATATTCTAGTCACCATATTCATATATAAGAGGTAAGATATCAAATGATATATACGAAGTTCAGCGAAGGGATCTCTTTTCAACGAATTTATTATCAAGCTGTACAATCGTATATATATAAAATTTTGTAAAAGTACTAATTCCGTGAGGAAATGTGAACACAGTTAACCATGACATAATAAAAAGGGGGTTATAATACTAGATTACGTAATACGAATAATAACAATAGATTTAGTGAATATAATAAGATGATTAAAATGTTTTTGTTATAATACTTAAAGGTCATAGAGGCCGTAGCCAGCGCTCGCTTTCAACTCGGATACGGGAACATATTCCAGCTTGGTTCTATAAGGGTGAAAGGAAAGCAGTTAGGAGTTCTATACTTGAACACCTTATCGACTGTAACCATTCTACAGATCCACAAATTGATTTTAAGGTTGTTTATATGATTAGTCCAAATCTACCTAGATTTCTTCGTATCCAACTCTTAAAAATAGCCGAAGCTCTTACCATTCAGGAGCTTAAACCAGAACTATGCGTACAAAAGAAGTACGTCTTATCGCTATCGTTACCTTGGCCTTAATTATTTTGATTATTTTATTATTATTATTATTATTATTATTATTAATATTATTATCATTATTATTATTAATATTATTATTATTATTATTAATATTATTATTATTATTATTATTATTATTATTATTATTATTATTATTATTATTATTAATGTTGCATTCCCCCTTTACTTATGTCTTATATTCTCATTGTTTTTATTCGTAAATACTCGTCATATTACCTTATTTATTTATTTTTCACACCTCTATGACCTTTAAGTATTATAACAAAAAACATTTTAATCATCTTATTATATTCACTAAATCTATTGTTATTATTCGTATTATGTAATCTAGTATTATAACCCCTTTTTATTATGTCATGGTTAACTGTGTTCACATTTCCTCACGGAATTAGTACTTTTACAAAATTTTATATATATACGATTGTACAGCTTGATAATAAATTCGTTGAAAAGAGATCCCTTCGCTGAACTTCGTGTTTTAATTTTAATGTTTAAATGGGAATTATCTGTCAAATGATATATAGTCAGTCAGTCAGTAACAACGTGGAACTTCGTACGTACGTACATCAGTTCGAGTTGCCATACCACATTAGCACAGAGATTCAGTTATCGATTCAAATCCCATAGTGGTAGAGGTACTGAAAGTATAAGTAGAGATAGGGGACATTAAGGTTTGATGATGTTATTAAAGGAGTATAGTCCAGTGGAATAAATTGGGAAAGAAAGTAAAGGACATGAAGAATTCAGAAGATTAGAATTTGAGAGAACACAAAGAGTGGATGCACCTGCGCCATTGCAAACGATTTTGAGCCATGTCATTCAAGGTCTCTAACCATCGGTTGCTATCATCTCGCGGTCGCCAACCAGGTAGTCTACACCTACCAACATGACTCAGTCCACTTGTCAGTGACTTCATGGATTTCTGCCATGTTTTGGTCTGGACGCCCCTAGCTTTCTTCCAACTTACTCCTACACCATTGAACATCGCACGTCGGGCCAGTCGGTGGTCGGTCATGCGCAGCACATGTCCCAGCCATCTCAACTGATTAAGTTTCACTACTTCCTCAATTGATTTGCCATCCTTACCTAGTACCCGTTTCATAACAACTGCATTACTTACTCGGTGGTCCCAGGATATACGAGCGATGTTTCGAAGACACCTATGGTCAAATACTAGTAACCTACGAATATCCTCTACTCTTACTGGCCATGTTTCACTGCCATGAAGTAGGACGGAACGAACTGCTGCGCAGTAAACACGTCCTTTGGTTGATAGACGGATATCTCGCCTACGCCACAAATGACGCAAGTTGGCAAAAGCTAGTCGAGCCTTTTGTATCCGTGCTGAGATTTCGTCACACACCAAACCACAAGGGCTGATGAGACTTTCGAGATAAGTGAAGCGGTCGACACGCTCAACTACTTCACTCCCTATCACTAGTTCGGGTGTCGACGCAACCCAATCCTGAAGCAACATTTTGCATTTCGAGGGAGAAAACCGCATGCCGAACATGCTTGCTTTGTTGCTTAGAGTGGTCAGCAGACTCTGCATTCTGTCAGCGTCTTCACCAAATAGAACTATGTCATCGGCATATTCTAAGTCAACAAGTGGATCTCTCGGTAGAAGTTCAATTCCTGGAAAAATGATATATAGGTTTAAATAAAATTTGAAATCTGTATAGTGTAATATAAAATCGACACTTTTAGAAATAAGAAGTTTGCCAACCAATTCATATATTCAATTCAGTCTCGAAGATGATCAACAAGGTAACTCACCAAATACGGATTTGTGTAGGATTATTTATAAATGAACACTTGATACTATTGGGTTATCATAAGTGAAGTAGGTACTATATGGTTAGAACATGAGACCTATCGTTGAACAATTAGTGATTTAATCATTAATCTATTTCTTCACAGTATTACCGGCTACCATATTAATAATGTATTCAGAAGATAATATATCCTAACTCAAACTGAATTCAAAGGATAAGTTGAAACACTATACTAGCTGAGTAAAATTTCTAGCTGTTAAACAAGTAACTATGGCTAGAATCCCGTTAGATTAGTATTGGATGGGGTTACTGAATTGTGGTAAGATTTGTGCTTTTCTGTACAGAATTCATTAAAAGCTTTGAAAAAATAATATGCAATTTCATTATAAGATAATATTGGCTAAATATTTATGTTATTCTTGAAAATTAACTATCGAAGTATAACCATTTTCATTTGGTGAAAATGAACTGGAACATTTTATCACTTATGTATATAAATAAAACTGATGTTGGCTAATATATTAACCAAGTATACAGTGGGAGCGGTTATTAACATTTTGGACTCAATAGGCAGGGCTAGTCAGAATAAATTTCAACAGGGACACTAGACTAAACAAACCGATCAATGTCGTTGTTGTGGCTTAGTGTTAAGATTATATAACTCGTATTCTTACTAGTGATTATATTACATGGTAATCAACCGGGCAAAAGTCACATCAATATTAATAAAATAACAATAGATTGTGCTTACGCATTCCTACAATTGAAGAACATATGGAACTCAAAGCAACTTTCAACAAATATCAAAGTCAAAATCTTCAATACGAACGTCAAAATAGTTCTACTATACGGAGCCGAAACGTCAAGAACTACTAAAACCATCATCAAGAATGTACAAGTATTTATCAATAGTTGTCAACACAAGATACTATAACAGCTCATGTGCTATTGTGGTTGTTCACATTTAATTCGGTTAAGTCATTTTATTACCTTTTTAACGAACTGTGTCAGCCGTACAATAACTTATCTAGAGCATTGTATCTTCATTATTGTTGCGAATGTATGAACATGTATGCTTGAGCAAGCCTTACCGCCTATGCATTTATTCACGATACTAGCGTTACTATTAATCGCTTAATTGATTTGATGATTCATTCATTTCACTATGTATATATGTCTATGTTATTCATATTCATTGCTTTCACTCGCCCGCCCGCTCGCTCGCTTGCCTGCCTGCTTGCCTTTCGGCACAACTATTTCGTGCTTGATTAACACACCTGTAATTTTGGATATCTGTGTGTGGTCCCATAATAAACGTAATCAATACTTTGTATTCGCCTTCTGATTAATATACTGTTGGAGCGTTATTTAGTGACGGTTACCAAGACGAACTGTATACGAAAATTAAGGAACATGTCGAACACCGACCACCACAATATTCAACATTCATTGGCCAGATGCCATCAGCAATAGCCTTCTGTGTGAGAGAACAAACCAGCTCTCAGCTGAAAAGGAAATTAGGGGAAGACGATGGAAACGGATAGGACATACATTACGGAAATCACCAAACTGCTTCATGAGGCAAGCCCTCACTTGGAATCGTGGAATGAAGTGGAAAAGTGGAAGGCCAAAGAACACATTACATCAGGAATTGGAAGCAGATATGAATAGGATGGATATCTACTGGAAAGGATTGCTTAGAAAAAAGTTGGTTTGAGAGTGCTGGTGAGCGGCCTATGCTCCTCCACGAGGAGTAATAGGTGTAAGTAAAAGTAAATTTCATACTCAAATACTAGAGAATAATATTCAAAACAAACGAGTGGTTCATCATAAATTATAATCATCATTAGTTTATTCATAATGTACAACTTTTATATCTATTTTAATCATTTTTTATACATTGAATACTTGTTCATCATGATTATCATTAGATAAATCATTTTTGACTTTAACAATATTTGATAAATCATAAAAATTTTTATTATAACATGTATAATCAATACTACTTATAGATTTATAAGTAGTTTCTTGTTTATCAATAGTATTATCCCAATATGATTTATGAAAATATAAATTTTCATTATGTAAACAACAAGGAACTAAAATATTTGAATTTGAGTTCATTTCATGATAAACTGGAGTTATGTTGTTCCGGATTGTATTATTGTTACTACCATTACTATTACTATTACTATTATTATTATCAATATTATTATTATTATTATTACAATTTTGAGTATTGAACTCCTTTGATGTATCATAATATAGATTATTCTTTTTAATTGAATAATCTAATTGAAAATGATTTTCATAGGTTTCATTTAATTCAAATGGATAATGATCAGATTCATTTATATTTGAGTTTAAATTCATTTTATAACAAACTGGGATAATTTCGTCCCAAATTGTATTGTCATCATCAACATCGTCACAATTTTCAATATTTTTCTCTTTTAATGTATCATGATATAGATTATCCACTTGATTATGAAATATATCAAGATAAGTTTTCATTGAACAATTTGATTGAATATATTTCAATTGAGAACATTGATAACTTTGTTCAGATTTATCTTTAAGCATATTATTCATAGAATAATGTTTGTTATCATTTTCATCAGCAATAGATTGTAAAGCTTTAGTACTCAAAGGATTAGTACATATATTATTAGTAATCAATTGATTGTTAATAAATTGATTATCCGTATATTTTTTATGATTAGATCGATAGAACGATTGACAACATCGATTGTAGGAAGTTTGACATATTAAAGCATTACATTGATAATAGAATGTTATAAAACTGATTCCACTTATTAAACAAATGATAAAAATGATAAAATTTGTAGAGAATTTGATAAATATATTATCAGATTCACAAATAGAATCTATAGATATAAAGAGAAATAACAATTAGAAATTGTTTATAATTAAACAATAATGGATAGTGATTTGCAGTGGAATTCAGTATGCGTGCCGCTTCGTCCTATCTAAGACTCATCAGCCGGATGTACCTGTATCTCAGAGTTAATGTTCACTCTGGTACTCGAACAATTGCAGTCCTATAGATTAATGAGAAGATTCAAACAAACAATACAAAGTGAATTTAAACTTTACCCCATTGCACAATTAAGTGGCTATCAGGATTCAGTAGCTTAGTGGATAATGTGATGGCATTTGAAGCAAGCGCTACTGGTTTGAAGTCCCGGAGTGAACATCAACTCTGAGATGCAGGTAAATCTAAGTGACGAGTACCTAATAAGACGAAGAGGTGAGCGTCCTGGATTCGATTACTAGTCACTATCCATCTTTGTTTATAATTGTTATTACTATAACAGTTAATTCAATGAGTAGAAATATAATGTAGCCTTTTATTTAATACAGTATAATAACAGATAAAGAATCAAATAATAGTTCATAATTAAGGTTTCTGAAGATATAATAGAAAATTTATTTTGTGAATGTTCATTAACAATATATAAATTAATTCATGAAAGAATAAGTCAAATAACTAAAATGTTTATTACTACGTGAAGAAAGCGCTGATAATATTGTTCAGGATGACAATGAAAGCTTCGTAATTATACCGTCCAGTACAAAGAACCATGTTTCTCTAATTCTGTTTTCTTTATCTTAAAAAACGAAACAGTATCACTCCGTAGATTTATATGTGTAATTGATCATAGTTAGATAACCTTTGCAAACCCGGAAACACTGGACAGCCATTCCTCTACAGTATGAAACTTCATAGAAGTGCACATTCACAACCCCATAATCAAGAACCAATCTCAACACCACCGGTTTCGCGCGTAAATGTTCAGTCTCTAGATTATTGAGCTGACATCTAATGTTGCACAAGTCTAACTTTAATCAAACTATGATATTGCTCTACTATCTTATATTTCGTAGAGTGGATAACTATCTCACATCTGACACGTACTGAACTTCATTGATCATAGCTTTACATCTATAAACTAGTCAGTAGTGAATACATTATTATGTCTTGATTAAAATGCCCCCAAATGCCCTGGTACGGCCGAGAGTGGGGAGAGTCCGCTCTCCCTCTCGAAATGCTCTCACATGGCCATGCGTATATAGCCTCTGCCAGGGAATTCCTACTCACTGCCTTCAAGTGGCGGGGGTGTTGTTTACAAAAATGAGAGGACGAAACGCGAATGTCTGGCGCTTTAACCGGACCCCAAACCAATGGTGCACATGGGCTCCAGTATCCTGCGGGAACAAATGGCGTATGAACCAATCGTTGGTCACCGGCTACCATGGGACTGCATCTCCTTACGATGCTCCACTGCCTTGTGGGTCAGACGTTCAGGTCGAAGGCTCGGGGTGTGGCCCCCTAAGAAAACCACCTGTTTCGGTTTGGGCACCCGGGCAGTATCACAGCCCTCACACAAATCAATTGAGATTTGTGTGGCACATATGTATTTGGTGCCTCCTTGTACCTATACTTATGTGTTAAAATAAATAAATAAATAATAACTTGATTAAAATTAAACATGTACACCACTTGATCATAAAAAAAAAGGATTATTAAAAAGCAACTATTTGAGAAATATTAAACTTACTTATACTTTTATTTTGTATAAATACATCAGAATAAGGAGAAGAATATGGTGAAGGAGATATTGAATTGTAGTTGGAATTTTTAATTTTCAATGATTTCGTCAACATGAATATTGATGGATACATATCACTCTTCGATAAATCTGATTGATGTACATCATAATCTAACGATCTCATATGATCATTACAATATGAAGGCTGTAGAATGAAAATATTAGAAGTACAAGGATTCAGTCATGTTAAATAAATATATTGATAGAGGACGTTTAAGCGATACTGTAGTGACCTTGTGAATATTCATCGGTGAGACTATAATTTATGGACGAACCAATCACGTATAAGATAACAGGTTTCAGATTTTGGCGTGACATTCACCCATTCATTTGGCTAAATAGAGTTTTGGCATTATAGCTGATGTCAGTTCATGATGAAAACCTTAAATCTAATTCCTTACCTTAACTATCATCTATAAACCATAATTGGAATTCCTCACACAGGTTTATAACCCTCATTTGGTCCTAGTTATTAGGTAGGCACTCTCAAGGTCATTTTAACGTTCCTCAAAGGTCGTCTATAAATTATAGTCTCACTCATTCACCTACTTACTAGGATTGAAAGAGTAATATACGTTAGTATGAGAAATCAGAATCTGGATTTCGAATTAAATATTAGGGTTAGGGATTAGAGTTAGAGTTTCCATTATGAACTGATGTTGATTATAGTGCTAAAATGCTATTTAAGTCTTGGAATAAACTCCATGTTGTCAAGTCATCTAAGTGTATCGTAGTCAGTAAATATGACTATGTTTTCGTTTGTTAAGTCAGCCAGTTTAAGATATTTAGAAACAATTTCTATCACATAATCAATAAGAGATATGACTATTGTTATGTTGCAAATTTTCCCCATCATAACTAACTTCGCTACACTTGGTACTTCCTTAGTATGATAAAGTGTTATTTTTGTCATAGGAAACTTTACATTTTTCATTTAAGTCAGCTAAAACGACTGAGAACGAAATAACACCCTCCATCATGCATTACAGTAGTGTAAATAACCTCTGTTACTAGAGATGGTTCCTAAACTGATTGCTTCGATAGTACCATTTAGTCAAAATCCCAAATTGAACGAAATGCACATTCCAGATTCCACTGCTAACCACTAAGGAACTTTTAGAGGAGAAACTGAAATTTTACATACTTTATCAAATTATAGTGTAGCTTGGAATGGGAATTAGTTAGATGTGGTCGTTTTACAGATAACCCATCTGATCTATGATAGTTTTTTTCACATTTGATGAATACTTCTTTGCTCAGATACTTCAATGAGGTGCTTAATGAAAAATCACGGTAATGTTAAGTATTAAGATTAAGTCAGAGAAGGTGATTAACAATAAAAAAACACATCTTAGTTATTTTACGAAAATGAATACAACATCCATTGTAGTGACTAGTACCTATGGTGTATAGGATAAGAATAACTTGCCATTTGATCATCTACACTTATTTCAAATCATTTACCAGCTATAATTTGTTATTGTTTCGATTGGATTTTTTGACCAGAAGAATCTAGTGACATGAGTTAGTAGAACCTGTCGGAATATTATTCTGTTTTGTTTTAGGTCACGAATAGTTATGTTCCGTTGTATAGGCTACTGTATTAGATACACATTGAATCAACCCACAGATTAACTACTAAAACTTTAACTATGAAAAGTAAAACGGTACGAAGGTTGGTCAAAATAAAAATATATCAATATGAGGTTGTGGAGATTGTTGATTTTCATTAAAATCACGAACCAATCTAAGCTATGACCAGTAAAGTTTAGTTCATGTTAGATTTGAGATAGTTATCCACTCTACGAAATATAAGATGGTAGAGCAATATCATAGTTTGATTAAAGTTAGATTTGTTCACCATTAGATGTCAGCTCAATGATCTAGAGACTGAACATTTACGCTCGAAACCGGTGGTGTTGAGATTGGTTCTTGATTATGGGGTTGTGAATATGCACTTCTATGAAGTTTCATACTGTAGAGGAATGGCTGTCCAGTGCATGCAGATCTTCAGTGGTCCTCTAACTTGGATCGGTTTGTAATATCGTTAAAATAAAAAACCTCTCTAGTCAATAAATGTATTATCTTTGATTTACTTACCCATGCACACCATCTAATGTGTTGACAAACACGAAATATACAATTGATATGTAGTTCTGATGTGGCTGTAAGACTTGCGTTTGAATAAAATCCCATTACATTGGAATTCCAATGAAAGGAATTGACTTCTGTTATATTTGTCAATAACTTCATACTATTGACTGAAGTATATTTATTCAATGGAATGGCAAAGTTTCCATATGTTGATAAATGATTTGAATAGAATTTAATTTGATTAATAACTTCAGGTGAATATATTAGACAACTATAAAAAAGGACATAGAATATCACTCCATATAAATAAACATTCTATAGAACGATTTTTAAGCAAAGATGTATAGTGGCTAGCAGTGGAATCCAGAACATGCATTTCGTCCTAATTGGGACTCGTCAGCTGGATGTACCTATATTCCAGAGTTAATGTTCACTCCTAGACTTGAACGATTTTCTTCCAAATAAAAAATTAATCAAATAATCTAGTGGTTATCCTCAATTATTCAAATTCCTGAAATTAAATTCCCTGAACAGATCACTCTACATTTAATCAATTAACCTATTTCAGGGAGTATTTTCAGTCTAGGAATATTTGGTGCCCGTGGTTGATTCTACATTTGATTAAACGATATTGATGTTAAATAAAATATATAACCTACATATATCCATATTTATCTTGTCGACAAAGCCCGTTAGTAACAACATCAAATAAGAAAATATTTAAGAAATGTATATTTCAGACATTCGACAATACTGGCGAACGAACAATAAGAGATGAAGAGAAATGTATATGAATTAAAGTAGCTGAAACAGATAGTTCAATCATTGATGGGTGATACAACATTTGGAAGAAATTTATCCAAAACTTAGAATAAATTAAGTCACCTATAAATGTGTTTTATACATTTCCAAATCAATCACTGTTAGCTATTTTACAGTATTTTTTCATACCTTCAAAACATTGTCTTTTGGTCAGATGGAAGATAAATCGTCAATGAGTTAACTGAAAGGTTATTTATTAAGAAAATCAATGTTCAATCTTTATTTCATGCATGTTTTATAATGATTATGAGTAAATATCATTCACAACCTTGAAGAACTGGAAACTATTTCTGAAATACTGACTATAAGTTTATTGATTTAGTTATTTAAACACATAAACATTGATACAAGGAGGCAGTGAATAGATATGTTCCACACAAGTCACTTGATTTGTGTGAGGGCTGGGATACTTGCCTGGTGTCCAAACCGAAGCAGAAGGTTCAATTAGGGGACCGCACCCAGAGTCTTCGACCTAAAGGTCAAATCCATAAGGCAGTGGAGCAAAGTCAGGAGATGCAGCCTCATGATAGCCGGTAACCAAAAATAGGTTCATATGCCATTTTCTCCTTCAGGATTCTGGGGCCCATGTGTATCATTGGTTTGAAATCAGGGTTTTCCAACACCCCTTGGTAAACTCTCCGAGTCCACCAAGCTGGTTAAATCACCGGATATTCACTTTTCATCCTCTTAATTTTGTAAACAACACCCTGCCTCCAAAATGCAGTCAGTAGAACTTCGCTAGCAGTGATTGTATGCGCGTGGCCATGTGAGAGGATTTCGAGAGGGATAGCTGACTCTCCTCACTCTCGGCCCTACCGGGGCAAGTGGCGAAATAGTACTGAACCATTCAGTCAATATTGAGTACTATACAATGCTCTATTCGTTCATTAGCAAGAAAGTCTAATTAACCAAGTTAAATAGATATGTATACACTAAGAAAAAACAATAATATCATTTTAAGGTATAGTACTGAGTGTTTTGAATGTGAATTTATGAAGAGTCCTGAATTTCTTCAAGCTTAAAGAAAATCCTGGTAGATTAATGTTTACATATATGACATAACAGTCTAGTAATGTTCCTAACTACCCTTTATTGAATATAATGATTTAGTTTTTACTCACTTAACTTATTATTTGTATTGTCGTGTATGCTACTTATGCTGACAGATATAAGTAGTATGTAGCCGGAAGTGGAATACTTGGTAGCAGACGATTGAATTGAAGAGAACAGGAAAGAAATCAGAGAGTAATCAAAATAACAACAGAATTAGAGGAATGATGGATTGGATAAACGACAACTCAAAGAAGATATGCCAATGATGTATTTAATGTATATTTTTCATACTTTACTAAGCCATAGTATAATTTTATATTAAACAGTAAATTGGTTATCCCCCCCCACGTGAGTTTTCTTTCATTTCAATACTACATAATTTATCCATAATGATTAGATCAGTATACTTTAAAATGTATCTTGTTAACTTTCCAAGACTATACCTTTTTGGATTTGACTCTAATAGACTGTATGTCAAATAAAACAAATTATTACCGGATGATGAATTATAGTGAATGAGAACACAAATGGGGACATCTAAGTTGTATTACAGAATATCTTGGTAAAATTTAAGAACCATACAGTCGATATTTATTTTCAAAATATCCATCAGTTGTCTCAGACTTGATTGTTCTTTTATTTTCATACCAATCACTCTTTGTTCTTGTTCTCTTATCTTCGATTTTCTAAACTTTCTGTAGCCAGATAGGTACAATGTCATAAGTCTTTAATATCTATGGTACTTTCAGGTAGTTTTCTATCTTGAAGTAAACTATTTGTTTTCTAAATACTCATTTATTCAAAAGAAGCTCCATTCATTTACTTTATCATAAATATATTTAGAAATGACTTGAAATAGCTATCTCATAGTTATTTATGTACAGAATAACTGAAAGATTGAAGAAATGACACTAAACTTAACGATCTATGATTATTATGAATGAATTTTCAAATCATTTTCTGTATATTACTGGTTTGGCTTTTGCCAACTTAAGTCACCTATGGCGAAGGTGAGATATCCGTCTATCAATAAAAGGACGAGTATACGGATCGGCAGTTCGTTCTGTTTTACTTTACGGCTGCAAAATGTGGCCATTAAGAGTTGAAGATACTCGTAAGCTACTAGTATTTAACCATAGATGCCTTAGAAATATTGCTCGCATCTAATGGGATCACCGGGTAAGTAATAGTAAGGTTAGATGCACTGTATTAGGGAATGATGGTAAATCAGTTTATGAGGTTGTGAATCTTCATCGACTGAGATGGTTGGGCTATGTGTTACGTATGCCTGAACACCGATTACCAGGATGCGCAATGCTGACTAGTGTTGGGGATGGTTGAAAGAAAGCTTGGGGCGGCCAAACCAAGACGTGACATCAGTCCCCGAAGTCACTAACTTCTGGTCTGAGCCATGTTGGTAGATTCAGACTACTTGATTGGGGTCCGCGTGACTATCGTAGCCAATGATTGGAGACTTTTGGTGACATGGCTCAAAATAGGTCACAATGGCGTAGGTGTATACACTCTCTGTCTTCCCCTAAACTAATTGATTCAATTCGCTTCCTGTACTATATACTTATATGCAATCTTTTTTTATATATTAACACCATTGAATTAACTACTTCTATGAATCCGGTGTTCATCAAGCTATGCTACTGCGGTGTGGCAACTTGGACCGATGAATATATGTGCCTGGTCCTACGTTGTAGCTGACTGACTGACTGACTGAATGGTATGATTTAGTTGAGAAAAGTGAAAAATTAGGACGAATTCTTAGTATGTCACTGAGTGACGGCATAATATACGCTTTTCTTATTCATCTCAAGTAATGTGTATATGACATAAAATTAACATTGAAAAGTTTCTTCATAAGACAAATGTTATTTGACATTCCACTTGTTGAACTTAGAGTTCATCAAGAGATCTAAGGGTCCTGGGTTATGGATATGCACTTTTGAAGAGTCTCATACTTGAACGATGTGGTTTTCACAGGTTGTTCAATTAAGATCACTTCATGATATGAAGTACAATAGAAAATCTCAACTGACCGGCCTGATTTTGGGTTGATCATATAATTACAGTTTTACTGAAATTATTACAAATATAATTCGAAACACTTACTTTTTATGTACTATTATAATTTCATCTGATTTTGTATATGGTGATGTCTGACTTAAGGAACATTGTTCAATACTGATGTATGTATACGAATCTATAAAATAAAGGATATGACACTGATAAGTGAAATCTTCAAGGTTATTAGGTTTTAGTTCTTTCTATGATTATATCTGAAACATCATACTTATAATCAGTTTCACAGCATTCCGATAGCTTTTGATACTATCAGTAATGTTGATTCAAGTTTTATAAGTGACCGTTTAAACTTTTACTCATTGAAAAACTAGCTGTAAATATTTCAGTCCTACAGGATGTCAGTCGGATCCTGAAAGCTCTGTGGTAACGTCTTAGATTAGGAAACTGGGCGATTTTAGTTCTAACCTACCATAGGTTATCAGCTCTCGCAAACTTGCAATCATGTTTTGCTGTTATCTAGAAAAACGATGAAAGCTGGACGATCAAATTGACCAGCTCATAGGATCCGAATTCACTAAAAACATTGATCAGCCATTGTAAACCAATCAATGTCATATTCTCCAGTTATATGTGCTCATTAAATTCTATTGATCAACTTTGTATTTAAGTTATTACTATGAGCAACAAACATATAGCACTTACCATAAAATCATGTTAGCAACCTTAGAGAATTCCATCTGAATACAGCCATACACTGTCGTAAAAGGTTTTAATGGAAACTTAGTGCAAAGACGTTCTCGTGAAAATTCTATACTTAAAATTTGGCACATCGAGTCATTTAAAATGGGAGAATTTGTAGTTTTAACTTTTGCTTTTCTACTACTTAAAATCACACTACTCATATTTAGTTAGTAGTTTGAGTCATGGTCAACTACATAATTTATATACTGTCATTTTTGTCAATTTCGTATCTCAGCAAACTACTTATATTTTAACGTGATACATCCAAGTTCTGTTTTATATGATAAAATAAACATTTTAATTTTATTCATACTGAAATATTTGAAAGGCTCACTTCCTCTCTGATTGAGCGTTTGCCAACGTAATTGATAACTGGATATCACGCGTTTCGTCGTTTTTAAACATATACAGTTTGTGTCCTATATTTAGTGAAATCAGGCGTTTCGAATTTGTAACTTCATGCCTAAATCGGTCATCAGTTTAGAATCCTTGAGTAAATTTTTTAGTATGCTATATAGTTGATATAAATTTGAAATGATCTTCAATGAAATTCTTATAGTAGAAAAAAAGTTTATACTCAATGGAGAGGGGAACTCCATGGAGAGCAACTGAAAAGGGATTAAGGAGGCAATCGCTTCAACGTGTCATGAGGTTTTGGGCCACAAGAAGCACCATCATAAGGAATGGATCACTGTTGATACACCGGATAAGATTCAAGAAAGGTAGAACAAGAAGGCAGCAATCAATATCAGCCGAAAAAGAGCAGACATAGCCAAGTCACAAGCCGAATACACAGAAGCAGAAAAGCAAGTAAAGAGGAGCATCAGAGCCGAAACATGTTAAGATGTGGAAGATCCAGCAATGGTGGCGGAAAAGGCTGCAAGAGAAGAAAATATGAGACCAGTGAAAAGCAAGGAGGGCAAAGTAATCACTAACATCGATGAACAGCGAAACAAGTGGGTAGAAAGCTTCAAAGAACTCGTGAATCAACCAGCTCCACTGAACCCACTCAACAGAACAGGACAAAACTATGGAGGCGTGTCTGATAAGATAGTCAACATCACACGGAATTCGTATGATGGATTAGACTGCAAAATCGTTAAATCGAGGACAGCTCACAAATTCGTCCGAAGTAAAGACCGGTGTCAGGTAAGGTTTCTTACTCTGACCCTCTTTCTTTCTCCTGGTGATTGACTGGATTATGAAAACGTCAACAGCTTTGGGAAGCACAGGATACAGTGGACAACTAGCATGCAGTTGGACCATCTGGACTTCGCAAATGATCTGGCTCTTCTATCACAAACGCAACAACAAATGCAGGGGAAGAATACCAGTGCATCAGCATCCTCAGCAGCAGTAGGGAGAAGCAAGATTCTCCGGTACAACAAAGCATGCACCAATAAAATCATACTTGACGGAGAATCTTTGGAGAATGTAGAAAGCTATACATATCTGGGCAGCATCATTGATTAACATGGTGAATTTGATACAGATGTGGAGGCATGGATCGGTAAAGCAAGAGCAACATATCGACAATTGAAGAACATCCGGAACTCAAAACAACTGTCAACCAACACCAAACTCAGAATTTTCAATACAAATGTTAACACAGTTCTACTGTATGGGGTGGAAACTCGGAGAACTACGACAGCAACCATACAGAAGATACAAGTGTTTATTAACAGTTGTCTACGCAAAATATTTCGGATCCGTTGGTCAGACACTACACTATTAGCAACAACCTATTGTGAGAGCGAACAAACCAGATCCCAGTGGATGAAGAAATCATGAAGAAGAGCTGGAAGTGGATATGACGCATACTGAGGTAAGCACTGAACTGCGTCACAAGGCAAGTCCTTACATGGAATCCTCTAGATCAAAGGGGAAGAGGAGGAGCAGAGAACACATTACGACGAGAAATGGAAACAGACATAAGAAGAATGAACAACAACTGTATAGAACTAGAAAGGAAGACCTAGGAAAGAGTGGGTCGGAGAATGCTGGTCGGCAACCTATGCTCCATTGACGGGGTGGGGGTGGGGTGTTGAAACAGGCGTAAGTAAGTAAAGTAAAAAGAAAAAAATGTTTACTCATAAACAATAAGCACTTACTATTTTGATAATAATACTCTACATGTAAATGTATAGATTCTCTTGTATTAATTACACTTTGTGAATATTTCTTGTTTAAATCATTTTGAATTGTGAATTTTAAATTTTGGTGAAGTTTATCTAAAATATTCGATAGATTTCTTCTAGTGTAATTGACATTAATCATTCTGCAGGAAAAATAAGTGTAGAATAATAAACAAGAAAGAAATGGATAAATGTTCAACATTTTATACTTCTGTTATAGCTTGTGGATTTGTGCCTCTCTCTGTGTATAAAGTTATGATATCACCAATTAGAGAACAGTGATTCATCCACCGAATCAATGACGCATAAAACACGTACCACCAGTCTACAGTCCTCATCGGTCCTACTTTCTGAATACACCTACCTGTCTCATGAGTTCACAACACCAATCTCAGAATCTGCAATATGAATCATTTATATCAAACATATTGGGTTTATATACCAACCAAACAGACCATATCGTACAATGAAATAGGAAACAACATTTGTACAAGACTTAGCCAAATGTGACTGTGAATGTGAGTGATAGTAATTGATAGACTTGACATAACTCTAGAATGGTAGACCGTATAATGATAGTTTATAAGACAAAATAAAGCTTATAGTAAGAGGACCACGAATATGCATAGTTTAGTTATTTAACAATTATGCGATACAAATATATGTATAGTATTGTTCCATAAACAGATCCCAACAGTTATCATTCATTATTCGCGTCGAGATATGACAACTTAAATTTTTTAAAAAAAACCATCAGTACAATTCAGTTTACACACATAGTTCTCTTCATCATTTTGAAAAGTGTAACAACAAAGATTGGTACTCTTTAGCTACTTACAACCTGTGATATTTATACATCACAATTATATAACGGGTTCAAATTACTTACATAAAAGAGTTTGGTTAGAAGTTGTATTCAAGATATATTGGTATAGTATAGCAAGGGTGTAAATAAATTGAATAGATTGAATATAGTGAATAGATACCTTATGTAAAAGAACATTCTATAACATTGATTGTGACAACAGTTCAAACGGTCAGAACACAAGTTATTACATAATGAATAAATATTGATAGGACTATAGTGAGTAGAGCTCAGTTGATAAAATCAGATTGCTAATTTGGAAAATAGTCGAAATCAAATTCAATGATGTAATAAATTTCAGTCATTAAGATCATGAGTCAGTTGAAGCTAGACCACCATGGAAAACCTGGAAGTACTGGACGGCCGTTTCGTCCTATTGTGGGACTCCTCAGCAGTGAGCATCCACGACCTCGCCCCCTGCGAGATTCGAACCCAGGACCTACTTGTTTTTGCGCGCGAGCACTTAACCTCTGGACCACTGAGCCGGCATTCAACGGTGTTCATGTCTAACTTCAACTAACCCACGAAATTGAGCGACACATCCACCATTGTCTTCAGTGAGTTTCTATCCCACAACAGACCTGGTTGAACTCCACTGGTCACTACTTCTCACTAGAACTCCAGGATATACCTCTTGAAACCAGTCACTAGTGAGCATATGTTGATTATATTGATGATGTAATAAATGCAAGAAAGAGTTTTAGATACAATGAAGGAATATTTGTCATCAAGTCAAAGAAAGATTAATAACCATCTCCTTTTGAGCATATAAGTCAGGTTTTTAACACTTGATAGCAATAGCTTTAGCAAACTTCAGAAGATGGAAGTTTGGCTGCTTACTATTATAGGGTATCTACCTGATGTCCTATATCAAGGAGATATTTGATGATTGCACTGTTTAGAGTCTTTCTTTCTGTTATTCTGAAACTTTTTTTGGAACATGTTCATTTTATAGTTTATTACATAAAAAAAATCGAACAGTAGATTATTTACATAAGAAAGTTAATGAATAAGAAGATATACTACTGAATATATATCACGTACTACTTTAATACAGATAGTCAATTTAATGATGCTAATTGAATATAACTTTTATTATTAAAATTCATGATCATTTCTAAGTGTTTATTTTACTTCGAATACATGTCTTTTTTTTATATTATCGTGTATAGGCATAAATTTAATTGTAAAGTATTTTATTGAAATTGTTTTATTTCTATTCACATGGTATTGTTTTACTTAATTCTTCCCATTTGAGGTTTAAGACTGAAATTGATCAGTCTGTTATTTGGCATATATGCATACTGTACGTATTGCCTCGATATTGCCTTAATTTACAAGCTTTATAAACAGAGATGGATAGTGGCTAGTAAAAGGGTTCGAGATGAGCGTTTTGTCCTATTTGGGATACGTCAGCTGTTCAATTGCAGTTTTAAACCTCAGTGGAAAGATTCAAGAAAACAATACCAAATGAATTTAAATTCATTCCATTGCAAAAGCAAGTGAATATCAGAACTCAGTATCTGAATAAATAATGCGATGGTGAATGGTACTGGGTTCGAGTGCCAGAGTGAAAATCAACTCAGAGATGCAGGTACATCCAGCTGACGAGTCCGAAATAGGATGAAGCGGAGTGAGTCAAACTGGATTCCACTGCTAGCCATTATTCATCTTTACTTATAAAGTTTGTTTTATTTATGTTTTTTTTTTCACGGTATAAATAATCTTTTACAACCCTCAACATTCATTAAAGGTAACAAATTAGATTCTAGAGATGATCTGTAATACATTTTTATATTTGAATGTATAATGTTAAAGGTAAATTGCACTTTTTATGATCATCTTATAGCTTGCAGAAAGAAGATCAAACATATAACTGATCAATTCCAGACAGAACGAATTCCTAGGTAATTACCAGCTTAGAAGTAACAATGTGAAATATTTCTTATTTGGATAAGAGATTTGTTATATCCCGATGAGAATAATGAATGATAACTGTTGGGATCTGTTTACGGAACAATACTATATGTATATTTGTATCGCATAATTGTTAAATAACTAAACTATGCATATTCGTGATCCTCTTACTATAAGCTATAATTTGGCTTATAAACTATCATTATACGGTCTACCATTCTAGAGTTATGTCAAGTCCATCAATTACTATCCCTCACATTCACAGTCACATTTGGCTAAGTCTTGTACAAATGTTGTTTCCTATTTCATTGTACGATGTGGTCTGTTTGGTTGGTATATAAACCCAATATGTTTGAAATAAATGATTCATATTGCAGATTCTGAGATTGATGTTGTGAACTCATGAGACAGGTAGGTGTATTCAGAAAGTAGGACCGATGAGGACTGTAGACTGGTGGTACGTGTTATATGCATCATTGATTCGGTGGATGAATCACTGTTCTCTAATTGGTGATATCATGACTTTATACAAAGATAGAGGCACTAATCCACAAGCTATAACAGGTTTTAAGGGACCTTTTCAATTTGAAATATGTTTACATTGAAGGCGGATTTAAGCTAGAGAACGTTTGGATATCAGAGGCTATTGGAGAGTTGTTTTGATCTAGTTCAGGTTCTATTTGTCGTATACACACATGATCAACACATGAATTGAACCCAGGAATTTTAGACCTGGTGGTTAGTACTTTACTTTTAAAATACTGAACCAGTATCCGGTGATCCAAATTTTTAACTTCAATCTTTTTGTGATATTACATTGTGGTCACACCGTAAACAACTGGACTCTTGGAACTACCACTGACTACTTTCAAGGGAAATTCTTAAAATTCTAGTAAGAAGACATAATAAATAGAATCCAATCATATTACTCCTGACATTAACTGATCATCATTCTATTAACCAAACTGACTGTAATTTGAAAAACACATTATTGAATTATAAACCAACAGTCTAAATACAACTGGATAGCCTCAATTTGTAAGCTTCCATGGTTCAGGTACCAACAGAATCTTAGCTATTCACTTCTAAACTGTTTCAAATTATGGAGAATCAGTTGTTTAGAAGCATCTAATTCTACTTGGTTGTCTGGCTAAATTCAATCGGTTATGTCATCTCTCTCTCTCTTTATATATATAGCTTTAAAAAGTACTTTCTAATGTAGTACAATAATACAAAACTTACTTGATATCAGTTGAATCTATAGTAATATATTCTTCATTCCAATATGATGTAAATGAAATGAAGTATTGCATATCTTTAATTATAAAATCAAATGCTGATTGATATAAAACAATGAGAAATGCTTTGAAAGTAATCTCTCTCTAAGAAATGAAAGATAAATGAAACAGGATTATTTAAAGCAATTGAGATAATGGTATAAAATACAAATAGTTTAATAGTTAAAATCATGAGTGGATTGAAGCTAGACCACCATGGAAAACCTGAAATCACTGAACACCCCTTCCGTCCTACTATGGAACTCCTCAGCGTTGCACACCCACGACTACACCCGTCGCGAGAATCGAACCCAGGACCTAACATTCTTGCACGCGAGCGCTTAACCACTAGACCTCTGAGCCGGCACCCAACTAATTTAACATTGAAACAATTCAATTATTTTATTAATTTGAAAAGTGAAGTCTTTGGTTGAAATCATCAATCGATTGATGTTAGACCACTATTGAAAATCTGGAAGCACTGAACGACCTTTTCATCCTTTTGTGAAACTTCTCAGCAGTGCGCATCCACAATCCCTCTTGAGGGATCGGTTCAGGTTGTTAAAATAGAAAAGAAACCAGAATGAATTTTTCATTTAATTATTACCATTTATTTGTTTATTCAAAGAACAATTCTATTAGATATTACTGAAATATAGTATGGTGTTATAAGCAAAGATGGATGGTAGCTAGTAGTGGAATCCAGGATACGTGTTTCATCCTATTTGGGACTCGTCAACTGGGTGTATCTATATCCCAGAGTTGATGTGACTTAAGGCACTATCGAGGCAATCCGCATAGGATGTACACTTGTCGATAAGAAACTGATCAGTTGCAGTCCTAAATATCAATGAGAAGATACAAAAAACGATACAACATGAATAGTGTAGTGTTTTTTTATCATGATTATTTTGTGAGAAACACATAATCATCGAAATGGTTATTATCACAATGTGCGTTTTTATTAATACTCCCTCTCATTCATGTGATTCCTTATTGATATTCACCATTATCCTTTAGCTCCCACTCTTGTGAATGAACAAAATGATAGTTGATAAGATATATATTTAATTAGTATTATTATAACATCTAGAACATAACATATGGAACTCAAAACAACTGTCAACAAATATCAAAGTCACAATCTTCATTATAAACGTCAACACAGTTCTACTATAAGGAGCTGAAACGTCGAGAACTACTACAGTCATCATCATGAAGGTACAAGTATTTATAAATAATTGATTACACGAGATACTCAACATCCATTGGCCTGATACCATCAACAACAGTCTACTCTATGAGAGAACAAACCAGCTTCCAGCTGAAAAGAAAATTAAAAAAAGACGTTGGAAATGGATAGGACATACATTGTTGAGATTATCAAACTACATCATAAGGCAAGCCCTTACTTGGAATACTAAATGAATGCAGGAAAGTGGAAGGCAAAAGAACACACTCCGTCCAGATATGAAAAGGATGAATAACAACTGGAAAAGATTGCTTAGGAGAGGGTTGGATGGAAAGTGTTGATGGATGACCTATGCTCCTTGACAAGGAGTAACAGGCGTAAAAGAATATGAAAAAAATTATAACATTCATTTATACTTACCTTTTTATGATAAATTTGAATTGATGCACATCTTGTCACAATATTATAATTCATAGAAAAATTAAATATTATACACCATATTCCTTCTTTAAACATACTTAATAGACAAGTATCATATGGATATGGTGAATTTAATTGATTTGAAATAAATACAATCAATGGTGTTGTATGATTTTTTATAAAAATAGAAGATTGATATTTCATAGAAAGATTAAAACAGATTGTGATGTTTTGTTGTGTACCAGAAAGATCTTTATATTCAATGAAAACAACAAAAGAAAAGAGAGAAAAAAAGGGACGATAATATCATCCAAATCATAATAATCTTATGAAAGAAATTTTAAGATTTTCTGATAGATATTTATTAAATCTATATTGCGAAGAATAGTCAGGTTATGGGTAAAGTATATCTTAATAGTTGAAATCATAAGTCAATTGAAGTTGAAACATCATGGAAAAGTTGAAAGCACTAAACGGTTGTTTCGTTCTATTATGGGATTCCTTAGCAGTGAAGATCTATAATCTCGCCTCACGAGATTTTCAAACTCAGAACCTATCAGTCTCGCGTGTGAACGCTTAACCTGGATTCGAATCGCACGAGGCGGGATCGTGGACTCACAATGCTAAGGAATCTCATAATAGGAAGAAACGACCGTTCAGTGCTTCAAAGTTTTCTATGATAGTCTAGCTTCAATTGACTCATGATCTCGACTATTAAAACTATTATAATATCCATAAAACTCCTTCCGATGCAAAGTACATCGTTTAAAGCATGTGAATTTGGAATTATGAGACGAAACAGAATAGAACGGTTACTCCAGAAAGTTTATACTTTAATATATAATCACAAAGGTGAGAATAGATTAAATATAAACAGTGAATAGGAAATAATTGTTCGTGCGCCTACTATGGGACTAGTGAAACATCAACTTAGAGATTACAACGGACAATACAAAAATCTTTCAACGCCGGAGAATCACGATTAGTGTTTTCTACGTGCGTGATACCAAGGCTAAAAAAGGAATGACTTAAAATGACTACATCCTTTTTTATTTATCAGCCCAACTGCTATTGTGGAGGAAGTTATATTGGTCGAAGTTCTAGGAATTTATATTTTCGTGCTTGCCATCATTTCCCAGCGTGGCTAAACAAAGGTTTGACGAAGAAAGTGAACAGCTTGATGTTGACCCATTTAGTACAAACTGGTCATAGTGCCAGTATAAACCAATCCTTTTCAATTATTTATAGATCCAGTAATTTTTTTGCCAAAGCTTGTCAGACTTACAGTTCTTCAAATGACTGAAGCAGTAGCCATTCAGATGATGAAACCAAAGCTATGCGTACAAAATAAATATCTCCAAACCCTTCTCCTCCTCTGGTCAACCCCAAGGCCAATTAATCAATAGTAATCTTAGCTATTGAATGACCTAATTTGACTATTGTATGTACGACCATTTGTAGTCAAATGTATTTGTCCCTGTTTTATAAGAATTGCACAACCCGAAGAGAATTAATGGAAAGGAATATTCTTCGTTAGAATATTAGTCTATTAATATGATGGTGATCTTTAAACCCTTAAATATATGAGACCATGCGTCGATTGAGGCTAGACCACCATGGAAAATCTTGTAGTACTGGGAAACCGTTTCGTCATGGATGCGCACTGATGAGGAGTTGCATAGCAAGACGAAACGACCTTTCAGTGCTTCCAGATTTTCCATGGTGGTCTAGCTTCAACTGACTCATGGTTTCAACTATTAAAATTACTATAATGTTCACAAAACTTCTTCTAACACTAAATAAATCTTTGGTTTTGAATCTATTCAGAAAAGATCACATCTTTAAGTTGACACTTTCAGAGAGTCTTAATGAATAAGTTAATGTCAAACCAATGAAACGATTATTTGGGATTTATATCGTTTCTGTGTAACTTGTTAATTTTGTGTGTTAAACGTTTCATGACTAACTATTCATTGTGTTCAATAGTATGTTGCCGTATTTTGGCTTGAATTTAATATAGCTTTCTGTATATGAAATGTACCACATCTAATATGTAGTTACTTTTTACGTATAAGAACAAATTTGTTTATTTTTGTAGGGAACAAAATTATCTCTTTCATTCCCTTTTGTATATTTTACTATACTACTTGTTGTAATTTAGTAGTTCGCCGATAGTTACACTTTTTATAGCATTCATCATTGTGATTCAATATATTTCCCTAATTCAAATTATGAACTATATGTAAAAGTGTAAACCTTCTAAACAGAAAACTGTCAATAACAACACTCAATTAATCACAAGAAAAGCTGATTAATTCAACATTTATGTTGCTATAAATACTACCAACATTCGATTTTTGTTTTATTTCTGTCATTCAGTACATCTATTCAACCTTTAGACAATGAGAAATTATAATCCTTACTCAAAAGTTCTATAGAATACAGTTTTGCCTTCTATGCATGATTTCCACATGAAACTGAAAATAGTTAACCTCAATTAATAAATAACTTCTAGTACAAAATTGAACATTTGTTTGTAGTTTGAAAGAATGTAGTTTGTATCTTCAGATCGCATTATATGTAAAGATGGATAGTGGTTAGTATCGGAATCCAGGATGCGCGTTTCGTCTCACTTGGAACTCATCAGCTGGATGTACCTGAATGAGTTGATGCCCACTCTGGGACTTCAACCAGGTACCGTTCGTTTCAGAGTGAACATCAACTCTGGGATGCAGGTACATGCAGCTGATGAGTTCCAAGTGGGACGAAACACTCATCCTGGATTCCACTGCCAGTCACTATCCGTTTTTCTTTATAAAGCTTGTGACTTCAGGCAATCTCGAGGCAATCCGCACAGGATGTACATAGGCCAATAACAGACTGATCAACTGCAGTCTTAAACATCAATGGGAAGATACAAGTAAACAACACCAAGTAAATAAAGAGTAAAGTTTGAAATTGTCTCAGTTAATTACAACATCATTCAGATGAGTTTGTGTTATATGTTTCCTCTTCATTATATTGGTTGAATTGAGAGGAATTTGTATCTACAATGACATACAGCATTTTCATAAATTGACTTCAGTTACTCAGTCGGATAATAATCAGAAATGGCTAAGGATAGTCTACCTCAAGTTTATTAACCAAAACTTTAATATGATTTATGATCAAAAGTAGAATTCTTTAGTTATTAAGTAAACTTACGAAATAATCTGTCTTGGATGATCTTACTAATTTCATAGACCTTGTGAATTTGATTTCGTTGAACAACTTCTGGACATACGCAATGTTTTTGACGAGGATGTTGCTCCATTGAATAACATCTATCACAGACTAGAACTATGTAAGATAAGAGGAAAAAGCAGAAACGATCATTTAGTTATTTACTGATGCACATCAGGTCGAAAAACAAACTGTATAAATATTAGTAATCAGTAAGTGAAATTTAAATGGGAGTTTCTGATTTAAAGCATATTATCTATTTAACAGGGGAAAATCATTGCTTTAATAGTTGAATTCATGATGAACGGTCGAGCAATTTCATGGATTGGTTGAATTCAGAAATTAACACCATTGAATTTTAGCTCACTAGGCTACAGGTTAGGTATGTACGCACGATACAGAAGGTCCTGGATTCTTAAGGGATCATGGATGCGGATTGCTCAGGAGTCCCATACTAGGACGAAATGGCTGTCCAGTGCTTTCAGGTTTTCCATAGTGGTCTAGCATTAATCCACTCATGATTTCAACTATGAACAAATTATAGAATAAGATTGTGTCCTAGATTTACATTAATCAAACAGTCATTCACTTTCATTATAGACCAATACAATGATAGTACACCGAATTTCTAAGTTTTATATCAGTGATAAACAATTCTACTCTAGAAATATTAAACAGCTATAGATTACTCACTTCATGGATACATAAACAATAGTATAACTATTAAAGTAGTTATATATAACAGTTTTACAAATTGAATAGTTTATGAAAACTTACTACATTCATAATAATCTAAATATTCTTGATAAACTGGTAAATATCCATCTTGACAAATACATTGTGGTGATAAATAGACATTATTGATCATTTTTCCATTTGAACAAACAGCGTTTGATGATCGACATAACATATCGATCTGGTTACAGAACATACCGATGTCAACTGTAAAAGAAAAAGAATCATAGTGAAAGTGAACGTTTTCAAGTCGGATATATTATTTCTTACGATGTAACGAACATATAAAGAGAAGAGACATTCTATGTAATTGAATTTATTCAAATTTGATTACAGTATTAAAAAGGAAGAATGTTATTATTAAATCTCAACGAATGAATTCTTCTTTTTTAATGTCTTACATAAATTTGGTGCATAAATACTGTGAAACTATTCGATCAAACTATAGTGCAAAGTATTGAATGGAGGAAAGCTGACATATACATTCCAAGTAAGAGTTGGAGTTAGACAAGGCTTTTTACTCTCCCTTTTCTTCTTTCTTCTCATGGTTGATTGGATTATGAAGACTTTGACATCTGAGGGGAAACACGGAATATAATAGACAGCTCGGAATCAATTAGAAGATTTGGACTTCGCAGATGACCTAACTCTACTATCACATACACATACAAACAAATGCAGATGAAGAAAACTAGTGTAGTAGCAGCCTCTGCGTCAGTGGTCTTCAACATACACAAAGGAAAAAGCAAGATCTTTAAATACAACACGGAGAACACCAACTCAATCACACTTGATGGAGAAACTCTGGAAGAAGTGTAATCCTTCACGTATCTGGATGTAATCACTGATGAACAAGGAAGATCTGTTGCAGACGTAAAGGCGAGGATAGGCAAAGTAAAGACATCATTCCTACAATTGAAGAACATATGTAACTCAAAACAACTGTCAACAAATATCATAGTCACAATCTTCAATACGAACGTCAAAACAGTTCTACTATACTTAGCTGAAACGTCAAGAACTACTACAATCATCATCATCCATTGGCCGGATACCATTACCAACAGCCTACTGTGTGAGAGAACAAACCAGCTTTCAGTTGATGAGGAAATTAAGAGAAGACGTTGGAAATGTATAGGACATATATCGTAGAAATCACCAAACTGCATCACGAGGCTGATGAGCGACCTATGCTCCTCGACGAGGAGTAACGGGTGTAAGTAAGTAAGTATTCACTCAAATTTAGACGAAAGTTCTTATATACTTGATTAAAATAGTTTGTATCTATGTTGATCACTCGAGCTACCTGCTAGACACGACACTATGAAATATTAGAAAGTTGAGTATGTTCTTGTCAAGCAAATGAAAATGCTAGCTTATAACTGTGAATTGAATTCTACTACTTTTTTCGATTATATCCATTTGTGTTCAGTATACTGATGGTTCTAGTAAAATGTGTTTTCTTAACAATGATCCTCTGCTATTCATTTTCATCATTCACAAATGTTTTTCAATTAGCTTTACTCATTTGACATCTATTTTCATTGCATAATATACATTAGATACATGAATTTCAATACAGTTATTTCACATTTCTTCGAAGGACAGATGAATGAAAATACACTAATCATTTTGATTGTTTTTGATGGAGTGTTTTTCTCTGAGCTGGATGGTTTGGTCGTGGAGCTTTCATCGTACATCTGAACGACATCATCAGCACAAACTTCAGATAGAAGTGAAGCGTTCGAATTTCTCATAGGAACAAAAATCAAACCGATGGGAGATATAATCAAAACAAAGAAGTAAACAATGACAAATTTAAGGTCAACAAGAACCAATCAACATCAAGGTCTACAGGACAAGTTGTGAATTACATATGGAGAAATTAGAACACTTCACTTCTATCTGAAGTTTGTGTTGATGATGTCGTTCAGAAGAACGATGAAAGCTCGGTGACCAAACTATCCAGATCAGAGAACAAAACTCCATCGAAATCATCCACCTAAGCTACAAATCTTCTCCACAAACTCATCCTGATTGTATTTTAACTAACGAATAAACGATATGTGAAATTTACAAATGTATTCGAATGATAATGAACAAATTAAGCTTGAAACAAATCCCTATTGTATTTGAAAAACATTGAACCAACCAAGTCAACTCTGTTACTACATAGCAGAAATTATTAAATCGAATAGTTAATCATTATTATTGTAGTAGACAAGAACGCCAATGGGGACAATCGAATGTATTTGATTACAAATTACAGAACTAGTTACTAAAATCTAACAACCATGTACTAAATGCTTAATTTATAAATTGTTCATCAATTGTCTCAAATGAGTCGGAATTCCTTTGTTCTTGCATTTTCATACAAATTCCATGCTTTCTTCATTCTTTACTGTTCGATCCTCTTGTCTCTCTGCTGCCAGACATTCTGTTCGCGACTAACATCATATACTACTTATGTCTACATAAGTAGGACACACCACATTATTAAGTTGGTATTCTTTTAAAATATCATTTGCAAAAAAACGTTCTTGTAACCCACAGTTTATGCTTTACCTAATGTTATTTATTTATTTTAATATATAAACATTGGTACAAGAAAGTAACAAATACATACGCGCCACATAATAACACTGAGGCCAGTAGTAGTTAGCATTGATTTGTGTGAAGGCTGTGATACTGGCTGGGTGCCAAAAATCATTGTAAGTGGTTCTCTTATAAGGACACTCTATGAGTTTTTGACCTAGATCTCTAATTTACAAGGTAATGGAGCAACATTAAGAGATGCAGTCCTATGGTAGTCGGTGACCAACAATAGTTTCACACTCCATTTGTACTTTCAGAATCCTGGAGCCCTTGTGCATTATTGATTTGGAATCAGGGTTGCCCAACTTCACTAAGTGGATCCTTCATATCCACCGACCCAGTTAAAGCGCGAAACATTCGCTTTTTATTCTCTCAATCTCGTAAACAACATCCTCACCCACGAGAATGCAGTGAGTAGGACTTACCTGACAATAGCTGTATAGGAGCATTTCGAGAGGGAGAGCTGACTCTGACCACCCTCGGCAGTACCAGGGCATTTGGAGGGTTTCCTTAATAAAAGTCTTAACATCCATATTCAAGTTATTTATTGCTTACTTAGTATTCAAATAAATAGTTCTATTTCAATTTATTCAGGCATTAGGAAACACTAGAGAACTTGGTATATATTTACTTAGGTGTATCGTGCATCACGATAATCGAGTGAATCCTGATCAGATATTCTGAAACTTGTAAGAATGCTTAGTTTAGTTTGGTTACATTACTCTTATTCATATCAAATCACTTTAAGTTTTGTATTAAGATTTCAACAATAAATAAACACTATATCTGTCAGGGAGACCCAGAAAATCCTTCGAATAAAGCCCGAAAGGGCCTTGAAAACGCTGGGAAACATATTATTCAATCAGCATTCAATGGAAGTTTCTCAGAAACATCTACAAAGCAAAAAGTCACGTGTCACATTTCTGGTTGGATAGTTACGTATTTTGCTTTTGTGTTTAGAATGGTTCCAAAACTTTCCAGAAGCCAGAGGCCATTTGAAATGCTATTAATCCCCTATATTTCCTGTACATAAACTAACCTTGAAGTAAAGAGTTCTTTCTATATTTCTCATCTTTTCTCTCATGTTCAAGTTGTCGTGTATACTTAACCTGAGGGTTACTAAAAGAACTTAGAAAATCCAATCATACGTTCAATTAGAAGATTTATCAATGTCATACAAAAATGAACATGAATTTTATAAACCATTTTTTTTATTTATGGGAGGCGAAACCCAAATCACACGTCCTCATCGTGCCTCCTGAATAGTAGGACTCAGTCTCATGAACTAACGTGAGTGGTAACCCGGATGGTAGAGATCGGGCTAGTTATCCACTCGACCGATATCCACAAAGAATCACAGCACAATTACTCCTGGATGGAAAACCGACAAAAAATTCACAAAATTGGTGCATGGGCAAACTCTAACCGATTACAAAAACAGCTATTCTAGCCTTGATAGTTGTACCGTACTTCGATGAGGCATGTGTCACTTCAGAATGGCCTACTAGGCTTCACCAACTTGTTTGGCTGAAAGGGAGGGGGAATTTTTCTAATTTGTAACTAAAATTGTAGATAATAACTAGTTCTTCATTATATTTTAATTATTATTAACAGTTTTTTCTTTTCATCCAACATGTAAAATTAAGGAAAAGAGTAGATGTAATGGATAAAGGTCATAAATCGAAAAAAAATTTGGTTACTATGGTGATCTAGAATTAGTAAATTTGATGAATTTTAATAAATAAATGACGAGTTTCAAACAAAAACAAAAAAAAAACAATCAGTTACTAAGCAATAATTTATGTCCAATTTTTAGTCTTTCAAGATTTTAGATATGTAAATTCAACTTACAGTCACTTTGTAATATTTACTTTGAACCTTTATATGTCTATTTAGAATGCTCATATATATATATATATATATATATATATATATATATATATATATATATATATATATTGCTCAGATGGAATTGAGATTCTTTTAGAAATAAAACATTATTCTTCCCATCAATCAGCGTTAATATTACTACTATTACTACTACTACTACTCTTACTACTACTACTACTACTACTACTACTACTATCACTACTCTTACTACTACTACTACTACTACTACTACTACTACTACTAATACAACTACTACTACTACTACCACTACTACTACTACTACTACTACTACTACTAATAATAATAATAATAATAATAATAATAATAATAAAAGTAAGGTTCGCTGAAACTATTTTCGATTTGAATAATGATAGTTTGTTTATTAACCGGTTTCGATGATCAAACAAAAATGAATACTTGTTTTTTACATACAGTAGGTTAACTGATTTGGATTGTATTAAATTGTATTATGTAATCTATGGTCAGAATAATTGTAAAGTAGCGTAAATATACAAAACCAATAAATTAGTTAAACAAAGAGGTTTTATAAGAATGTTTGTTGTTGAAAAGCATATCTATGAAGTATGGAAACTATATGAACGCTCTCTACTTTGATATTGTTGATCAAGTTGAAGTTAATAGTGAACTGTTTCCATGACTATTAATCTCAACTGATGTTCATCATCATCTTCACATTACTTAATTTATTGAAGATGTTCTCCAAGAAGTAGAACTTTTTACGCTTAATGTTCAAGGAGTTGATCTGTTACTATGAGTTTTACTTAACGATATAGAATGAACAGATGATATTCAGTCTATTTTCGTGAAGATGACAGAATGTGAAGTCTTATGATCGCCTTGAGAAACAATTTTTAGTATACTTACGATACATTTCTCTTACGTTAAATGAAAACATTTGAGATAGGTATGGTTAGTGTCAAAGCCTTTCAGATTTTCAATTGTGATCTAACACCAGTCGATTCATGATCTCAATTAAAAAACTAAATGAATATTACGATGCTCATCGCTTAAAATCCATCCTATATGAGACTATGTGTTAGCACTACTAATAAATTCTAAACTACAGCAAGACTTTTATCATATGCTCAGTAGTTTTTAATGTTCCTCTAGCTAATATCAATCAATTATGGGAAAAAAAGTAGATGTTTTTAATACAATAATTGTTTGATTTGTAATGACTATCATTATACTTAGTTAATGTTGTTTACCATAATATTAAAATTGATATTATAAAATGTTTCTTTTCTTTAAATTTCATTTAGTCAATCGGTTTTTAAGTCTTAAACGTTTTCATAATGATAGAGATAATGATAGATTTAATACTAATAGAAGTTTAAAGATAATGTAAACTAATCTTCTATGTTCTGTTAAAGTAAATTACATAGTTTTAAATTTTCCAATATACAATTAAGATGTCAGGTATGTTTTCAAAAGGGTTTTGATGTTTCGTAAGTTTCTTCCTTCTTCTTCTTCTTCTTCATACTTTTCTTCCTTCACAGTCATCTACTTCTTCTTCTATGTTCTTTATAGAACTTTTACCCACCCCCTACTGGTTTATTTCTGTTTCTACGATCCCCCTGATTATATTTCATTACAATTTCAGCATTTTATTTTATCATGCTTAGCCATTCTTTCCCAATTATAATTTCCCTATTTATCTTTAAGAAGAAGATTTAAGACTAGCAAAAAAATTGTTATTAGTTTCAAATCACTTGGTATTGTTTGGTTGAATCTTCCCATTGATGTTTAGGACTGCAGTTTATTATTGGTATGTGTACATCCTGTGAGGGTTATTTCGAGATCGCTTTCAGTTACAAGCATTATAAGCAAAGATGGATGGTGGCTAGCACTGAAATCCAGGATACGTGTTTCGCCCTGTTTAGGACTCGTCAACTGGATGTATCTGTATCCTAGAGTCGAGGTTCACTCCGGAACTCAAAACCAGTACCATTCGCTTCAAACGCCATCACGTTATCCACTTAGCTATTGAGTCCTAATAGCCACTTGCTTGATAAAAAAATAATGTTTTGGTATATTTGTTTATTTTACCTCACTGTAAATGTGTTCAAAAGAATTTTATTATCATTATTACTGTAATTATTATCATCCTGAAATATAAGAATATATATGTTAACAGATATAAGTAGTATGTAACACCAATCAAAAGTGGACCATCTTCTATTATCTGAGGTAGATACCTGTCTTTACCTGACATTGATTAGATCCACTGGTCACGACCTCTTACTAGAACGAAATGGCTATCCAGCGCCTCCTGGTTTTCAATGGTGGCCTAATATCAATGGTATCATAATCACAATAAAAAAAAGCTAATCCGTGTCGGGTAGAGATAGGTATCTACCTCAGTACAATGGAAGATGGTCGCGCGATTTCGTGGATTGGTTGATGTTAGACATTAACACCATTGGATGCCGGCTCAGTGGTCGAGTAGGTTAAGCATTCGCGCGCGACACTGAAGGCCCTGGGTTTGAATCCCGCATGTGGGATCGTGGATGCGCACTACTGAGGAGTCCCATACTAGGACAAAACGGTCGTCCAGTGCTTCCAGGTTTCCAACGGTGGTCTAACATCAGTCGATTCATGATCTCAATCAAGAAAAGCGATGAGAGAACCTTGAACTCATTACTGTTAATTCTTGTTAATTTATAAGTAGTATTACGTAGTATCAAATTATTTTGAATGTGTACAATTTATCAGTGCGCCTGAGTTTGGAAACTTGCTAATTGGTAACAAAGTAACTACTAAGGATGTAATGATACCTCTGTTTTATTGAGTTAATTGTTTTCAATATGATTCATAATAAACAATTAGACGTTACTTCATACTTAAAAGACAATGAAACCAACTTTAAGAGTGAAATAACATCATTAGAGTAGTTAAAATATCGAAGTATTTGGATGAGTATTTCACTTTATTTGAGAATTGTTGTACATTGAACATCAATAACATATTTATATTTATGTAGAAGATTTAAACTTTTAGACATTATGACAAACAGGTTTCCATTAGATTATTCTCAGTATAATATGATCAGTCTAAGGTGTGGACATTGATAAGAAGAAGAGGCAAAATGGGACGGGACAGTTCTTAATAATTACGTTGTAGGAATAGAATCAAGGATATAATGTTTTTTCCCTATTTATATTAGGACAACATTGTATTGTAGGGAACAACAACACTAATGGGGACGATCGGATGTATTCGACAACAAATTACAGAACTTGTTAATAAAATCTAACAACCATTTAGTAAAGGCTCAATTTGCAAAATGTCCATTAATTGTCTCAAACGGCTCAGACTTCCTTTGTTCTTGCGTTTTTATACAAATTGCGTTCTGTTTTCATTCTTTACTGTTCGATCTTCTTGTTTCTCTGCTGCCAAACATTCTGTTCATGAGTGACATCATATACTACTTATGTCTACACAAGTAGTACACACCACAGTATGAAATATATTAGTGACAGGGAAAGAGTAGGGGCTGATCATACGATTCGTTTAACTAAATCATAGTAGGCCAAAAAAAGAAACGTTATCTTATTGATCTAAAACTAGGTTTATATCTGCATTGTACTCATAATAAGTGTCTAAATATTCAAGTCATCTGATCTCTGACTACATGTTCAAAGGAATTATAATTAGATTGAATCTAAGTAAGTTTACAACTGTAGTACTTGTTGACCCTATTGGGTATGATTACTACATCTACTTCGTTTCCTTTCCCTTCCTGGTTTAATGCTTTTTTGGATCACTGAGAACTTGATTCTTTCAAATGTCTTCAATGAAACATCGATATTTATTATTCTGTTTGCTCTTAATAGATACAATCCTAAATATACATACAAATGAACATGTGTAATAATAAGCGAGATATGATGGCTACTTGTCTGCATTTATGAGTGTTACTGAACAATGTTCCTTTAAAACAAAACTAATTAAATCAAGTAAAATGTACCACCGAGTCCAACGTTCCGTCTTTGACATTCCTTATTTGTAACTCGATCATCCTCATTGATTGATATTTAAAAAAATAAATATATTTAACAAAACTTTGAGGGGTTTGTCAAGAATGTTTAGTTTCATACTGTGTATCACAAACTGACTTTGTTAGAAAATCCTTCAGAAACCAAGAAGCAATGGATAGCTATTTTATCCGAGTATGAAATTCTTGTACAGTGCCCATTTCATTACTGAATCCTGGTTTTTAATGGTTCACTAAGTAAGGTCATTTCGTGATGTAGACTATGAAATTAAACAAACTCGACAGCCCATCTGCACCAATAATGATCATATGTTCACTAGCAAAAAGTTTCTAGAACTAGTTGCTGGAGTTATAATAAGAGGCTGTGACTAGTGCAATTCAGTTATGTCAGATAAGAGACACTATCTGACCAATATAACAAATTGAATAAAATTAGAAATGTAATGTAGTTTTATGATAGGTGACATATCGCAACCTATTCGAACATATGGACCACTTATTTTACAAATATGCATAGAAATTGAAATATGGTTACATAATGCTGAAACTTCGAGAACTACTACAATCATCATCAAGAAGGTACAAGTATTTATCAATAATAGTCTACGCAAGATACTCAACATCCATTGGCCGGATACCATCAGCAACAATCTACTGTGTAAGAGGATCAACCAGCTCCCAATTGAAGAGGAACTTAGTGAAAGATGTTGGAAGTGGATAGGACATACATTGTTGAAATCACCAAACTGCATCATGGAGCAATCACTAGCTTTGAATCCTGAAGAGAAGACGAAAAGATGAAGGTTAAAGAACACATTACGTCGGGAATTCGAAGCAGATATGAGAAGGATTGCCCAGGCCAGGATAGGATGGTGAGCACTGATGGGCAACCTGTGTTCCTCGACGAGGGATAACAGGCGTAACTAAATTAGTTAACTGGCAATTTAATCCACGCTTTCTCAAGGAAATATAATCAAACATCAATATTATGATTCTCCGGTTCACTATATACTGAATAAGTCATCCAATGAACGTTAACAATGTTTAAAGTAAATATTTGTATTAGTGTATAAGAAACATGGTACAATTATCATCATGTCTATCAATGTGAGACTTACCTAACAAACCTTGACACAAGCCACTATTTTCTTTATCACTCATATAATTTAATATTTGTGTACTATTAATGGAGATTAATGTTTTAGATTGATTGATATGTGATTTATTCCATAGGAGGTTAGTATTAATTGAAACTGTATTGTATGGGCATTTACATCCATATAGAACTCTGAAATAACAATAATAATACTATATGATAATAGATTCCTTGCACTGATTAACTCCTTAAAAAAATGTGTTGAGTATGAAATAATTAAAAAAATACCTAATAAGTTGGGAATGGTTGTAATTTAACAGGTTGATTTCATGAGTCGATTTAAGCTATACAACGACTTTCTCGTCCTAGTGTGAGGCTCAACAATGCGCATTCACGATCACGTATGCTGGATTCGAACACGAGACTTCTAAACTCGCACGTGAACGCTTTATCTGTAGACCAGTGAGCCGGCATCTAACGGTGTTAATATCTAACTTCAACCAAACTACGATATTGTGCGACCGTCTACCATTGTCTTCAGTAAGTAACTGCCTCACAACAGATACGATTGAACTCCAATGGTCACGTCTTCTCACTAGAGCTCCAGGAACCACATCTCGAAGCTAGTCACTAATGAGCACATGGTATTTATTGTCAGAATGAAAGTTTGTGGAAATTGTAGTAGTAGCACTGCTGAGGAGTCTCATACTTGGACGAAACGGTCGTCGTAAACAGAGTTAATATGAATGTTCTTTACATGTAAACTGAATTGATAGAAGTGCTAAAGGAATAATAATAATAATTATTATTATTATAATAAGTAACTCTGGGTAGAGAAAATCTTTTCAATAATACGGATATAGACATTATGTAAACGTAAGTCTCTGGTAAACCAAGGGATCTAGCAATTTTGTTGTTATGTACACAATTCAAATTTTAGATAGTGAATGTTTAAAGCATCTGCAATGTAAAATAGGTTAAGATGTTCTCCACTAGCAGTCTTTGATTATATTACATGTAAATTGTTCCAAACGACCAATCTAACTAACTAGTTGTAATGTAGAACTATACCTGGAGCCCCTCTGCGGCCACTGCTGGTCCCAAGCATGGATAAAGGAGGAGGGTTAGGCATGGGGTTAGCGATCACAGCCCGTAGAGAATTAAGTCGCTAAACAAACGCTAACCAAAAAAAATAATTCAAACAATTTCAACTCTGCCCTGTGAGTTAAAAGGTCTTCATTTAGAAGACTTATGACGTCTCGTGGTAAAATCCGAGTTCCTTAGGAAGTCATGAGTCTGATACCCTTTCTTACAACCAGAGTAACCATTAATTTAGGTATATGGAATGTTCGTACCATGTGGTGAGTTGTAATGTAGTTGTCTAAAAATTCCAAAGAGAATGTGTTACTTACGACTTTAGTTAAATGTAGACTGAAAATGACTAGATATCGACAGGATTAAATTATATCCATCCTATATGTGATGAGTTAACTAAATTTGAATACTTCCAACAATCGGATTTTTCACATTCACTGAACTGGCTTATTTTTTACTCCAGGTATATATCGTATTGTCCGGTATCGTAAGTAGCAGCCCTATATTGGACTGAAATGTTTTAAAACTAGAGGATGCTGCCCAGATATGTAAAGGTTTTTACATCTTCCAAATCTTTTCCGTCAAGTGTGGTTTGATTGTTGCATGCTAAGTTGTATCGGAGAATCTTGCTTTTCCCTTTGTGTATGTTGAAAATTCTGTTATGCTACTTAGCTTATATTCTTAAAAGAAGTGATCTTTCACCTACCAATATTTTACAACTTGGTTCAGTGCTATCTTCTTAACTTTGAGATAATTTCTTAGGCTTCGTTTATTAATCACCCTGATAACCGTTATTAAATAAATCCCAATGGTGTATGAATTCAGAAGGAAACACGAAGCGACGACTACAGTTTATTATTGGATAGCACAGATAACAAAGTTACAAACACATCGAGCGAGTTGAAGCAGAGAAGCAATTAAGTGTGTTCGAGCGAATACAGAAGTGGATTTATAGTCAAATCGAGTCAAGGCAAAGCGTGGTAAGGCAAAGCCTAAGCGAAGCCAAGCGAAGTAAGGTAAAGTAAGGTGAGACGAATAATAAGATTCAAGTATACACATTCACACAGACATGATGGTGATTACAATATTATAAAGAAATAGACAAAGGGTTACTGTTCGAATAATACTGTCTGTTAAACAAGTTAATAAAAAAACTCGATATAATTAACCGCAAACAAATTTGATTGTAGGAGAGTTGCTATAACTCATTCTAGTACCTACCTTTTGTTGAATTTACTGTATGCTAATGAAAAATTGTGAATTAATTCCCGGTCATTTTCATCTTTGTAGCATAATCCATGAAAACGTTCACATTTATCACAGAAATCATTGGTAAATGTTTTGATTTGGAATCCTGTGACATTTAAACAAAACAGATGATAACTCTATAAGATGATAAAGTAATAGCAGAACAATTTTTTAATTAAATGATAATCATCACTATATGGTCGTGGAGATTGTTGATTTTAGATCGATATCAACGTTAGACTACCATTCGGAAACCGTGACCAATGAAGTTCAGTCATGTCTGTTGTGAGGTGGTTACTCACTGAAGGTAATACTGGACAGTCGAGCAATATCGTAGATTGGTTGAAGTTAGACATTAACACCGTTGGATGTTGGATCACTGATCTATAGGTTAAGCATTTGAGCTCAAGTTTGAAGGTCCTGTGTTCGAGTCCCGCAATGGGGTCATAAATGTGCACTGCTTAAGAGTCTCATACTAGAATGTCGTGTGCTTACTGGTTTTCCATGGTGTTCTACAATTGATCTAACCATGATATCAATGTAAACTTGAACGATAAGATTCAAACTGTTTAAAAATCACCATCATATAGAACACTAATGCTTTAAGTAGGAATACATACTACTTATATTTGTGGACACTAGTAGAACATGCCACAATTACTGTTCCTGAGTATAAGAAGTAGGACCACAAACATTACAATGTAACTATTTAGTTCGGTTCTGATTGCTTGAAGTTGTGTAATGATGATGTAATCAAATATACCATTGGACTTAATGATATCCATAGTTAAATAGTAATTATACTGATGGAAAAATATTCTATCACTTAAATAAATTTCAAATTTGTATCAACACATTGGATTTCCATGGATAAAAGTTTGGAAAATATAGTTATTTCGATGAGACTATAATTTATGGACGAGCCTATCAGAAATGTTTGAAGGATCTTAAGGTCATGGTGCCAATTTCAGTACCTAACACTCATGTACGATTGATTGACAATGGATTTAAGAGAAAACGTGATTATTGAGCGGCTACAAAAAATAGGACTACTAAGAAGTTCCTTTATTTGTGATTATGATAATAAAATAACTTGTGGACCTTGTGAAGACTATCGCTATGTTGTCTTTCGATGTATTGGAGGAAAACGTCTGCTCGATCCAGATTGACACTAAGGTAAATTATGACAATTGTTGTGAATTGGATAATAAAAGCACCAGTAACACTGAGTGCAGCCGAGTACTAAAATATATACGCATCATTGAACAGCATACAGATGTCTACATAGAATTGGATATGTGTACCGTGTCGTTATCTATAAGCAGCATTTTGTGTACCCAACAACAGGAATGTACACATAGAATTTTGAAGCTATGTGGTTGAACCTGACAGAGTTTTTGAGACATTATCATGGTTTCAGAGGCATACTATAATGCAGCCATATGGGTGATTTCCTCTACTGTATGCATTACGATTTGTTTAAATGTATGATTATTTCTAAAAACAAATATTACATAATATTTAAAATAACTTACTACATGATTGTTCTTCCGGTACGTAAATCGTTCCAGATGGACAAATACATGCTCCAGCACCAGGATGACAAATACTATTTTTCACATATATACAGTCACTATCCAATTGACATTTATCATTTGTTAGTACTAATATTAAGTTAATAAGAATTATGAAGTAAAGATGTAGTTAGGAATATATAAAATAGATAATGATTTTAAATTTAGTGATAAACAAAGTTGGAGACACATTAAAATTCATTGAAATAGGAAACATCTATTAGTATTAGAAGAGTTTTTGTAGAGATTGTAGTAATTTCAATAGTTGAGATCATAAATCAATTGAAGCTAGACCATCATGGAAAACCTGGAAGCATTGGACGGCCTATTCATTCTATTGTGTGACTCCTCAGCAGTGCGCATCCATGACCCCGCCTCGTGAGATTCGAACTCAGTACAAATTACAAACTCCATAAAACCCCTTCTGATACTAATCAACATATGCTCACTAGTGACGGTCTCCAAGGAGTATTTCCTGCAGTTCTAGTGAGAAGCCGTATCCAGTGGACTTCTACTGACCCGGTTGTGAGATAGTAACTCACTTAAGACAATGGTGGATGTGTCGTTCAATTTCGTGAATTACTTGAAGTTAGACATTAGCACCTATGGATGCCGGTTCAGTGGTCTAGAGTTTAGGCGTTCGAGATTGATATGTCCTTGGTTGGAGTCTTGGGAGGCGGGATCGTGGATGCGTACTTCTGAAGAATCCCAAAGTAGGACGAAACGGTCGTCCAGTTCTTCTAGGTTTTCCATGATAGTCTAGCTTCAAATGACTCATGATCTCAACTATTGAAACATATATTAGTTCTGAGCATCTTTGTTCTTTTATAAAACTATAGGTTGAAGTAATGTTGAACTTATCTAACCTTATGTATTTATTTTTAAAGTCAGCTACACTCATACCATCATTGTGTCATTTAGCTAATGTGTACAGTGAATAAATGAATTCTGAAATAATGTGATTTGTGCTACTGATGTCGATAGATATAAGTAGTATGTATCATTAATCAAAAGTGAAATGCCTGGTTGTTAGAAGGTTAAAAAGATCAAAGACAAGAGAACGAGAACAAAGAATAATTGGTGTAGAATCGAAAAGATAATGAAGTTTGAGCCAATTAATTGACATTTTACTGTATGGTTCTCAGATTTTACTAAGCGATTCTGTAATTGTGTATTCAAATATATTTGATTGTCTTTACTTGTATTCTTGTTCATTACAATAGTACTAAGTCATCCATTTAACTACTTCATGTTGGTTCATCAAATACTTCATTAAACAGTCGTCTAAAAAAATTCTAATCGTGAAATGTCTTCTTTTATAAATCATCTCTCTTCATGTATCTAAGATCCACTTAGTAACATCATGTAGTTTGGAACTAATATTAAGTGAACCTTGATAACGACAGTCAAAGAATACATTTCAAATAATAAAATAATCTTTAAATAATCCAAAAGGGACTCAATAGTTTAAATTTGAAACTTCATTTGATTCATAATGTTGTCTGATTACTATTTAGTGCGTTCGATGATATCTGTTTCACTTCTGACATGGTTTAGAGGAAGAATTCCTGAAGTTTCCGTTGAAAACGGTTATCGGAAAATATTCGACCGTGTAAGAAATGAAACATGATGCAGAATATGGTTGAACAGTATCACAGATAGATCGAATTTAGACATTCATGTTCTTTAAAGGTTAATTTAGTAGTTTAAAGGGGAACATTGTAGGATCTGGGGCTATTGTGTTCCACCATTAGTAAGGTCAATATTGTAGACTCTTAAGGGGTTTGATGTTAAGAAGTAACATCTACATATTGCATCTTAGTTTTTAATGGTTTTTTTTTAGGTCAAGTTGATCTGTTTTATAATTTGTAAATAGAAAAATCGCCATAAACCATAATTAATTAAGTGAAGCTATTCAGTTAACACTATTGATGTATCATTATAATAACAAGAAAGGAATAATGTAATAGTTGAATTTATGAGTCAATTAAAGCTAGACTATCATGGAAAACCATGAAGCACTGAACAGCCGTTTTGTCCTAGTACTGGAAAACTCAGCAATGCTCATCCACTATCTCATACGAACCCAGGATCTTTAGTCTTGAGGTTAAACGCTCGCGCGTGAAACCAAAGTTCTTTCATTCGTGTGGGATTGTGGATGTGCACTACTGAGGAATTCCACGCTAGAACGAAACAGCTGTCCAGTACTTTCAGGTTATCCGTGATGATCTAGCTTCAATTGACTCATGATTTCAACTGTTGAAATCCTTTAAGTGTTTACTTTTATTTTATGTATATTCTAATGAAAACTTATTTCAAATCTATATTTACTGGACTTAAATATATAATTAAAAGTTCTTTAAGATAATTCAGCGATTATCATTTGACCTTAGTTGACCTTAGTACTGTAGATTTATACTTAAAAGTCCATTGATCTCTATTTGTAGTACACTTTTATAGAATAAAACAATAAGTTGAAACAAAATTCAACACATGATTGAAATAAATCTGTATAGAATGGAAATAGTAGATTGAATGAAACTTTACTTCTTTGTATTGTTTCTAATTGTTTGTCTGTTTGTTTGGGTAAATCTTAATTCTCTAATGGTTAGAATAAACGAATGTATGAACATATATTTATCTGATGTTACTATATTTACTTTGATGAAAAGAGAACTAAACATTTCCGACGTTACATTTTTATGAAATCTTATCTCGTGTCTCTTGTTGGCATATATGCATCCTGTGTGGATTGCTTCAATATTGCCTTAAGTCACAAGCATTCTAAACAAAGGATGATAGTGATTGGCAGTGAAATCTAAGACGCACGTTTCGTCCTGTTTGGGACTTGTCAACTAGATATACCTTCATCTCAAAGGTACTACGTTCGAGTCCTAGAGTAGACATCAACTCTGAAACGAAGTTACACTCAGCTGACGAATCCCATCTAGGATGAAGCGGCATGAATCCTAGACTCCACTGCTATTCATTATCCATTTTTCCTTATAATAAAGTAATTATCAATTGAATTCATCAACGTTTATCTTTCATCTAGTTGACTTATTACATAAAATGAATATATATCCTTTTGTCATTACTTAAGGGGTGATTAGATTCTTATATATCACTTTGTTATATACATACATAACGTAGTTGATAGACATCACTGTACATTTTGTATGATGGGCAATCTTTGGAATCAATCTGCTTGAAATCATAAACTTAGGTTTTGTTAAAATCTATGAAGAGAGTTTCAGTTCATTCATTCCAGGACATGCATTTTGTTCAAGAACGATGAAATAAGTACATAGTTACTTGTCAATAAACTTTAGATTGCTAATTTCTTGTGTCTGTCACAAAAAACGTCGTTCAATTTATGAAGTTAGAATTTTTGAAACGCCATTACATTTTAAGAAAATATGGATGGTGGTTAGTAGTGGGATCCAAGATGCTCACCACTTCGTCCTATTTAGTACTCGTCAGTTGGATGTCTCTTCATTTTAGAGTTGATGTTTACTCTGGGATTCAAAACTAGTACTATTCGTTTCAAACGTTATCGCGTTATCCACTTAGCTACTGAGTCCTGATAGTCATTAGTTTGTGCAATGGGGTAAAGTTTAAATTCACTTGGTATTATTTTACTTGTATTTTTCTGAAGTGAACATCAACTCTAGGATGCAAGTACATCTGGCTGACGTATCCTAAATAGGACGAAGCAACATGTCTCCTGGATTTCACTGCCTATCACGTTTTGGTTTTTCTTTTATTTTAGAAAAAAAATCTGGGATAATATCAAACTATTCCATTATAAGACAAGACAATTAAATAAAAAAACAACATCAGTATAAGTAGCTTTATATAATGAGAATGTTTTATTTTTCTTCAGTTTTTTCTTCATTAAAAATCAATTAAGTAAACATGGTTAATTAAAATCAGCATGATCAAAGGGATCATGGAAACACATCTTTTCTTTTATTATTCAATTAAAATTTAAAAATGAAATGGAAAACATCAATTAACGTATCTACTCAAATAAGGAATACATTTTTTGTTTTAGCTTTTATATGAGTTTTTATAGATTAGCAGTATGGGAGGTAAAATCTGACTCACACATCTACATCGTACCTCCTAGATAGTGGGATGAATAACCCATGAACTAATGTGAGCGGTAATCCAGGTGGTAAAGATTGGGCTAATCACTCACTTGATTGATACGTTCAAACTGATTATGAACTTCACAAAAGAAAAAACACAGCACAATTACTCTTGGATGGAAAAACGACAGAAAATTGACATAATTGATGCATGGAATGTATGAGGTTGTTCCTTACAGGATAAACTCCAACTGGTTACAAAAACAGCTATTCTAGCTCCGGTAGTTGTGCTATGCTTCGATATGGTCTGTTTCTCTCCAGAAATGCCTACTAGGCTTCAGTAATTTGTTTGGTTGGAAGGGGCGACCACAGATTAGTGGTATATTATTCTATTTTTCTTTGTTATTAACATGGATACTAGCTGTTGGGGATATTAGATCCCCAGAACTCACTTGTTAAATAACTTATTTTTGTAATTTTATTTTGAAAATCTGAAATTCTTGTTTTTCCCACCTTCATGTCGTATATCCCACTTGGGAGAATCTTAAACACTATTGGTTCGTTGTTTCATTTAGTATGTTATTTTGTAACTCATCTCAAGGACAATTTTATGCTGTATATATACGTTTGATTTGTGCCTGTTGTTATCGCTCGTGTTTCTGGCTACTTGTGGAATATATTTTCCCATTTCGAACATGGACTTCGCTTTCTAGTTAACAGGGCTGAGTGGTATTGATATTTGTTTTTATAAACAAAGCAAACGCGATGATATTCGTTGAATACTCTGAATTCTTTGAATTTCACTTCTCTCTCTTCAGCTATACATAAAAGCTATAATGTTTAATTCGTTTCAATTGATAACATACTCTTAAAATAGAAATGACAGCTAACAATGAATAACTTGTGTGTAGTGTGTAAAAGATACTGACAAACTCAACGAATTCAAGGAAGCTCTTATGTCCCATGCACGCCAACAAATGTAGGTCAAGACATCCAATGTAGCAGAAGCTTTTGCACCAATAGTTCTCGACATACACAAGGGAATAAGTAAGATCCTCAAATACAGTATGTAGAGCAGTAACTCAATCACACATAATGGAGAAACTCTGGAATATGTGGAAAGTTTCACGTATATGGGTAGCATCGTCGATGAACAAGGAGAATCCGATGCAGACGTAAAGGTGAGGATTAACAAAGTACGGAAAGAATTCCTATAGTTAAAGAACATATGGTACTCAAAACAACTGTCAACCTACATTCAAGTCAGAATCTTCAATGCAAACGTCTAGACAGTTCTACTTTACAGAGAACTACCAAAACCATCATTAAAAGAGTACAAATATTTATAAACAATTGTCAACGTAAGATACCGAATTTCCGGTGGTCGGATACCATCAGCAACAGTCTTCTGTGGGAGAGGACAACCCAGATTTCAGCTGAGTAGGAAATTAGGAAACGACACTGGAAGTAGATAGGATATACATTACAGAAATCACCAAACTGCATCACTAGACAATCCCTCACTTGGAATCCTAAATGGAAACGGAGGACAAAAAAACCTAAGAACACACTGCTTTGGGAATTGGAAGCAGACATTCAAAAGGATGAATAGCAACTAAAGACAACTGGAAAGGATTGTACACGACAGATTTCGATAGCGAATGCTGGTTAGCAGCCCATGCTTCTCGAAAACGGTTAAAAGGAGTGTAAGTAAGTCAATGTAAAAGAAGTTAAAAGTTTAAGTTTTGGAAATGATAACTATTTCATAAGAAAATACAACAACAATAGATTTGAAAATTTAGAAAGGTAAAGTGAACATTTGATATCTACTTTCTAACAGTAACATACGACGAGTATTTGTTTACCTTTTGTTTATGTTATTGAGCATTGTGTTGTGTATATTGGTGTCAACTTTGAAGCATGGAATGTATTTTTATTCAATAGTTGAACTCATGAGTCAATTAAAGCTAAGCCACCATGAGAAACCTAGAAGCACTGGATGGTCATCTTATCCTAGCAAGGGACTCAATGATTAAGAAGCAGTTATAAAACTGATTTCAACTCTTAGCTTCGTATTTATCCACATCATATCAGTTATTGATTGTTACTTATCATTTCAATTTTCGGCATTACGTTATCGTATTTGTACTAGCGATTTGATTCAGGGAGATGCGAAGCTCTTCACTGAAACATTGATAAATAACGATCATTCATCGAAGTTTATAAACCTCTGGAACAATAGCAATATGAATAGACCTACGAAGTGTTTAGCATCCAAAACATGAGTTTATATTACTCTGTCATTCAGAGATAACTGAAATAGTCTCATGTTGAAACGAAGACTTAAATTAACTATTAATAAGATATCTTATACAGTTGAACTAGAAATTATCGAAAAGTCAAGATCTCTGTTTCAGGATAACCTCAAACAGCATGTAAGCGATTATATCATCTCCCGTTACATTTGTCACTTTACATGTATATGCGGTAACACGTACATCGTGAGTTGCAAGTAAAGGTAGGTGGACGCATACCTAAATGGCTACAAAAACAAATGAATTCCAATGATCAAATAAGTTAACAGGATAGACAAATATATTACTCCGTTGAGAAACATTTGGTTGAAACCGTTCATACTGTTGATATCAAATCAGCCTTCATAGTTTTGTACAAACGTTTTCAAGTGCTTCTACTAAGTTTCATTGAAGCTAGGGTCTATGCGAGAACTGAAATCCCCTTTATGTATTCCAAAACAATTCGTTCTTACCCTTAACCTATCCTGATAATACTGACTTAATGTTCGGCGTGGTTTTTCCCATCGTGTACTTTATCGTTATCTTAGTTTCCCCTTATCTTTTAATTTGTCTAGTTGACTGTTTATTTTTCGTTTATAATGTTTTAACACGTATATTATGTGTGATCAAACAGTTCCGATAACCTTCATTTTCTCATCATATTATCCAAATCATGTAATCAATTGGAAATAACTAGACGTAAGATTAGATGGTGGTTGGAGGTAGTCGACAGGAAACCGTGGACCCGGGTTTCGTGCTACTTGGCACTCGTCAGCAAGGTGTACCTGTAATCTTTAAGGGAACTGGTGCTCCCTGGCGGATTCAATCCCGTGTCACCCAGCTTCACAGTCAGAGACGTTACCACTGAGCTATCCGGGCCGCGACCGACCTCCTGTAGGACTGACATGTAATCACAATTGATTGATCACTGGGTGACCAATGTCATGCGTGTCTAGTCCTTATTATCAGTGCAGATCGAATGCTATCGATCATGTTGCAATGTGGCCACCAGTCTAGGTGACTGGACACCGCGGGCACTATTGTAAGATTAGATGGTGGTTGGAGGTGTGACAGGTGGCCACATTGCAACATGATCGATAGCATTCGATCTGCACTGATAATAAGGACTAGACAAGCATGACATTGGTCACCCAGTGATCAATCAATCGTGATAACTAGACGTCTTAGTTTGTATGTGTAGCTGAAGAGAAAGCAACGAAATGCGAGACTATAATTTGTGGACAAACCAATCAGATTTACGATAATAGGTCTTGAACCTTGGCGAGAAATTCACTCATCCATTTGATTAAATAGTTTTGACATTATAGCTGATGTCAGTTCGTGATGAAAACCTTATATCTGATTTCTAACCTTAACCATTAACTGTAAATATTAATCCTAATTCCTCACACTGGTTTATAACCCTCATCTAGCTGTAGTATGTAAGTGGACATTCTCAAGGTCACTATAGCGTCACTCAAAGGTCATCCATAAACTATAGTCTTACCCAACGAAATGAATTTGTATTGGTATTTGATCCTAACCATACGACCTTTGAAGCCGAGCATATAATTACTGAGAAGACTTATATTCAACAACTGACACAAAGAGAAGATTAACTATAGGAAAGGAGGAAAGGATTAATTCAATTCAATCAGATGGAATGGTTCAGCCTTGCAGGCGTTGTCATTCTTGTGCAACTTATCTCTTTTATTTATATGTTTTGTTTTATCTCTAACCTAAATGTGTTCTTTAGAGACGCGAATCACGGTACGACAAGTCCGTGTAGACAATGATGTGACTTCCACGTAAGATCTTCTAGATTAGGTAGTCACATCATGATAAATCTACAATTTTAGGATTAGATCTATTATTAGAGCAGTACTAATAACGAAAGTAGACTATATTTCTACAGATCCCTTGTATTTTGAAAATATAGTCGTTCCTACTTTGTTCATATGTCTACACGAAAACAAAGCTAAACAAGAGAGATTTTAGTATGCAGTATATCACTATTATGTATTATACAGCACATTAAGTAAGCTGAAAGTCTTAGCTAAGAATGTTATGAGAGGATATCTGTATCTGTGCTTGTGGATGGTCTATGCTCCTCCACGAGGAGTAAACGGCGTAAGTAAGTATATATAAACAGTTCAACTTACATGTTTTACAAATGATACCATCATCTTCTTGAATTGAATAATAACCATATTTACAGAAACATTCATTTTTTTCAATTGAACAGAAACTATTAGGGACAAGTTCAGTACAGAATGAATCACCTAGGGGTAGACAAAATTCTGAAATAAAAAAAAAGCAATGCAAATATACAATTCATTTATGTCATTATAAGTGTATTAATTATTTTAATAGTTGAATTCATGAGTCGATTTGAGCTAGATCACCATTGGAAACCTGGAAAGATTGGACAACCATTCCGTCCTAGTATGAAACTCCTCAACAGTGCACATCCACAATCCCACACGTGAGACTCGAACAAAGAACCTCCAATCTGGCGTATGAACACCTAATCTCTAGACCACTGAGCTGACATCCAACGGTGTTAATTTGAAACTTCAATTGATCTTTGATCTTGTGCAACCATTCATCCATTATCTGAGGTGAATACCTGTCTCTACTCAATACTAATTCGATTCTACTGGTCACGACTTCATATTAGCAGTCGAAGAAATTCATCTTGAACCCAGTGACCAGTGACTAGTGAGCACATGTTTATTATGATAATGTGGATTTGTGGAGATTGTGATAATTTTAATAGTTGAATTCAAGAGCTGATCAATGTTAGATCACCATTGAAAACCTGAAGTAAGACACTAATACCATTTTGAGATGGTGGGGAAGATTTGTAGCTCAGGTGGATGAGTTTGATGGAGTTTTGTTCTAGAGGTTAATCGATAATGTGCAAGATTCAAGGTCCTGGTTTCGAGTTCCACATGTGGGGATTGTTGATTCGTATTGCTAAAGAGTCTCATACTAGTACGAAACAGTCATCCAGTACTTCTATGTTTTTAATGGATTTCTAACTTATATCTACTTATTGGGGGTGACCCAGAAAACTTCTCGCAAAAGACAAGAAAGGCTCAGGAGACACTAAGAAGCATTTTATTCAATCAGCGTCCACTAGAAGTTGACCCAAAAACATCAAGAAAGTGAAAAGTTACATGCAGAGTTTCTGATTGGCTGATTACTATTCTGCTACTATATTTAGTAGCATTCCAGAATTTTCGGGAAGACCAAGGACATTTAAAATACTATAAAAAACCCTATATTTTCTGTACTAGAATGAACCTTTGGAGTAAAGTGCCTTTTCTCTAGTGTTCAGTTCGCTGTGTAGTTCTAGCTTGGGGGTTACGAGAATAGCTTAGGAATCAAATATAGCGTTCGATTAGCAAGACTTATCATTACTCATGAATTGAACTATTTAAAACCACTACAATCTCCATAAAGCCCCCTATCTTATTAGTAATTAAGTGCTCGCGCTCGAAACTGATATGTCCTGGGTTGGAATCTCACGAGGTGGGATCATGGATGTACACTGCTGAGTTGTCCCACAATAGAACGAAACGGCCATCCAGTGCTTCCAGGTTTTCCGTAGTAGTCTAGCTTCAATTAACTCATGAACTCAACTATCCACAGAACCCCTTCTAATATAATATCAAATAAAGTCATTAATAACAATAAATAAAATATAGTATCCATTTGTAAAAATGGGGTTAAATTTAACATTAACACCATTGGATGTCATCTCAGTTGTCTAGAGATCAATCGTTAATGCGCGAGATTCAAGGTCCTGAGTTCGACATGTCCACATGTCGGGATTGTTGATTCGTATTGCTAAAGAGTCTCATACTAGTACAAAACAGTCGTCCAGTGGTTTTCTAACTTATATCTACTCATGAATTGAACTATCCAAAACCCTTACAATCTCCATAAACCTCCCCTATCTTATATAAATGTTTAGTTTATTAATTATGAGCAATTAATACTCAATTCATTTTTACATTCCATATATATATCTGTTACCCATTAATTCATTTATATATTACACTTTCCTATATCGTAAAATGTATTTCCTTTCATGATATTTATATTTTATTGTTTGACCTGAATTCATGTATAGAATGATTTCGATTAGCATGTTTAATTTAATCTAATAACGAGAAAGGTATGTCATCATTATTATTCATGTACAATTTAACCCCATTTTTCACAAATGGTTACTATATTTGATTGATTATTATTAATGACTTTATTTGATATTATATTAGAAGGAGTTCTGTGGATATTATAGTAACTTTAATAGTTGAGTTTATGAGTTAATTGAAGCTAGACTACTATGAAAAACCTGGAAGCACTGGATGGCCGTTTCGTCCCATTGTGGGACTCCTCAGCAGTGTGCATCCATGATTTCACCTCGTGAGATTTCAACCCGGGACCTATCCATCTCACGTGCGCAAGCACTTAAACTCTAGATCACTGAACCGGCATCCAACGGTGTTAATGTTTGACTTTAACTAATTCACGTAATTAAGCCACACATTCACCATTGTCATCAATGAATTACTATCTCAAAACAGATCCGGTTGTAAACCACTAGATACGGCTTCTCACTAGAACTCTAGGATATGCACCTTGAAACCAGTCACTAATGAGTATATATTGAATAATATCAGAAGAGATTTTGTGAATATTATAACAATTTTAATAGTTGAGATCATGAGTCAATTAAAGGTAAACCAGCATGGAAACTTTGAAAGCACTAAATGTCGTTCGCTAGATTTGGATCCTGTATGCGACATTGTGGATGTGCACCGTTAGAATCCTATACTAGGACGTACTGGTCGTCCAGTTCTTCCAGGTTTTCTATGGTCGACTAGCTTCAATTAACTCATGAATTCAACTATTAAATATTATTAAACCCCAATAACAAATTTATTCATCTATTTTCTCGAATTTTTTTCTTCACCTGTAAAAATTAAAAAAAAAAATTATTCTTTGATTATTAAACTAATTGATTGTATCGTCTGTAAAACCAACCTAATTTTCTATAGAAGACAATAAAAAAGCATTACACATAATTATTCAAGATGACTGGTTCTTGTGTATCTTGTGCATAGAGATATGAAATTACGTGAGTGTGTGTGTGTGTGTGTGTATGTACATTTGGAACAAAAGAGATTATTAACTATTTGTCGATTTAGGATAGACCGCCATAGAAAATTCGGAAGCATTAGACGGTGTTTGTTCACAAGATTGAAGGTGTTAAGTTCGGATTCCATATGTGAAATTGTGGATGCACACTGTTGAAGAGTCCCGTACTATAACGAAACGGATATCTAGTACTTTCAGGTTTCCCATGGTGATTTAGCTTAAATCAACGCATGAATTCAATTATTCATTTAATACAATCTTTATAAACCCCTATTCTGATATTAACTATGTAATATTGAATAGGTTGATTTGTAAATTCACCTCATGTTATTAATTTAATTTTAAATATAGGAAACATACCTTACTGTAGTGAACGAGAACATAAGTAGGGGTAATCGAATGAATTAGAATATAAAATTACAGAACATCTTAGTAAAATCTGAGAACTATACAGTAAATATTTCATTTACAAAATGTCCATCAATTGTCACAGAGTGGATTGAAGAATACTGGTCGGTAGCCTATGCTCCATTGAGAGCAACAGCCGTAAGTAAATAAGTAATGAATTTAAAATGCTTTATTCATTAAATTTGTTTAGTTAAACTATATTTATTAGTATGAAGATTTGTGGAAATAAAAGTAGTTTTATAGTTGAATTCACAAGTCAATCTAAATTAGACTACAATTGAAAATCACGAAGCATTAGATGACTGTTTCTTCCTAGTATTTGACTTCTTAGCAGTGATCAACCATGATCCCGTATACGAAATTCAAAGTTAGATATTCACACCGTTGAATGCTGTTTCCACAGTCTACAGGTTAAACATTAGCGCAAATCCAAAAGTTTCGTGTCCGAATTTCAGATACGGGATTGTGGATGCGCACTGTTGAAGAATCTCATACTAAGAAGAGATATTTGTTCAAAATGAAAAGGAACTTTACTATCAGTTTTTTTTTTTTTTTTTACTTAAGATTGACTATGTTCAATTACTCAGTTTCATGGTATTTTGTTTAAATTGATAACATTGGAAATAAGTTCAAGGAACAGCGTCTAACTTTTAAAGCTTTTCAAAGAAACTATGAGTTATTGAATTAAACATTCAACTAAATGGAGGTAGTCTCAATATTCACTTCATTGGATTTATTGATTAATACAAATTAATGAAATGGTTTCAAAAATGTTGGTGTTGAATGTTTATTTAAAATGATGAACCATCAAAAATAAATTCATGTGATTACGTAATGTTTATGTTAAGAAATCATTTGATGTTGTTTTACTTGTATCTTCTCATTGTTATCGAGGAATGTTATTGATCAGTCTCTTATAGACATCTTGTGCATCCTATGTAGATTAACTCGATATAGCCTTGAGTCACAAACTTTTTAAGCACAGTTAGATAATGACTAACAGTGGAATACAGGATGCGCTGGATGAACCTGTATCGCAGAGTTGATATTGACTCTGAGACTTGAACCGAGTATCATTCGCTTCAAATGGAGGTGGTTATCAGTACTCAGTAGCTAAGTGAATAACGCGATGGCTTTTAAAGCAAATGGTACTAGTTTCAAGTCCCAGTGTGAACATCAAATTTGAGATATAGGTACATCTAGCTGATGAGTCCCAAATAGGATGAAAAGAGTGTCAAACTGGATTCCACTACTAGCCACTATCCATCTTTACATATAATATATTTTGTTTGTTGATAAGTTTAATTTTCAAGCAAATGTTTTATTGATTTATTTTATTCTCATATCCCTTAGATACAGTCTACATTAAGTTTGGACATCACATTTTGAAGCTTGTTATTCACATGTCACCTAAAAATCATAATGTTTTAATATTCTATTTAACTGTAGCATATACTCAAACAACCCTAAACTGGTAATTATACACCAATGTTGAAGATTTTAATACTGTTTTATGTGATTTTAAACAAATAAATAGACTGCCAATTACAGATACCGACTTATACAACCAAACTAATAATGTTTAAATCTGTACAAACAACCTAATGTTCTTATTGATCCTCTCGTAATCCAACCAGTTCAGTTCAGAACGATAATGTTATTATATTTTTTGGTACAATATAGAATTCTCAGTACAAAGTATTTCAACAAGTTTCCTTTTCTTATTTCTTGATCAGTTCCTTGCGATAAATATTGAGTGGTCGCCAGTTAAATGTTAGCGATTCAGGAATCGACATCTCATAAATGTATATCCTTTTCGATGCATATTGCCAGTAACCATGATGTCTCTGACTGAGCTCTTTTGTAACATGTACAGCGAAACGTTGTAAATTTTCCACAAACGCACCTGAATAGGTTATGAGACTAATAGGCATAATGATGTGTTAAAACAAACAATAAAAACAGATAACTTGTTGAAATATCCAGATGGCAAGAACAGGTAGCCCAGATATTCAAGCTGGCCGCCTGTGTTACATAGATCATTTATTCCTTCATAATTACAAATAGTATGATGGATTCATTATGAAAGATTAAATCAATATTAAATTTTCAATGGTATTATTTAATCAACATTAAATTGTGATATATACTACTTATGAGTATCTAAACTATTTACAATGACTTATATACTACTTATAAGGAAATGAATAGAAATGTAAACACACTTCAGTCTAATTAACTTAATGCAATTCTGTTTGTTTGTTTGTTCCGTTGTTGTTGTTGTTGATGATGATGATGATGAGGAGGAGGAGGATGACGATGATTACTTTGTTGTTCTCAATAAGTAAGTGTATAGCAATTCTAAATATTATAAACTTCAATTTATTATAGAAGCATAAATCTATCACAATGAATTGGTAATAATTGCATAGAGATTGTGATTCCCTATCAACTATTGATAAGAAATTTTTAGAATGTGATTAATTAAAGGTTTCTGTTAATATGTATTCTGTATGATAGTTGATTGGGACTTGGTGACGTGTTACCTATTCCTGTCAACAAGTTATCTGTTTACTTGTTTATTTTAATACATTATCATGGCTATTAATCACCATAACATGTATAATTATTCATTGTACAAGTTTGTAAGAAAAGCCTAGTCAGGGACATCATGGTTGCTGGTAACATGTAGCGAACAGAATATACATTAATCAGATGTTTATTCCTGAACTGTTAACTTCTAACTGACAATCAATCAATATTTGTTGTCAGAATCGACCAAGAAATCGTTACATTTTATGACCGAGTGAAAGATAAATAAAAAGCTTTACTCATGTTCCTTGAATGGATAATTCCTGTCAAAAACTGATACAAATTTAATTCTACAAACTTTATCTATTGAATTACATCAAGGCGGTTTTAGAAATTCAGATGTGGATCATTCAAAACAATTAGATACTTGAGGAGATCAAAGAATTAAATTTAGAAATAGTATTTAAAATGTTTTTCAGTCTAGTATAGGGATTCCCCCATCTGGTTGATTTAACACCCGATAGTGTACTGAACATTGTTAAATTAATGCATGTCATCGATTAATCCAAGGTGTTCATAGTAACTTGAAACTGACTTATCACTGATCAATTCACCTTTGTAGTCTTTTGAAGCATACTGCATGTAGATGACATTTTAACTAAGTGTTGTCATATAGTTTGATTCTAAACACTGTACAAGATCATTCATTATCGTAATACTCACCAATTTCAGTGAAATATTCTACTGACTAAATACAACACTTCAAAGTACTGGATGGCTGTCTCGTCCTATCATTGAAAACTTCAGCAGTCCGAACCCAGGATTCTGAGTTCGGATGCCAAGTGTGGAATTTCGGATGCGCACTGATGAAGAATCTCATGCTAGGATCAAAATGGCCATCCCGTACTTCAAGATTTTCAATGGCGGTATGACGTTGATCGATTCATGATTTCAATCAAAACTCAACAATGTTCACAATCCTATACTGATAAAGATAAGTATTGATGCATATTCATTCATCTTCTTGTATTTTTCTTATAAATGTTCTAAAGTTTTCAGTGAGTATTTTGTCATTCATTGAAGTAAACAATGCCTTGTTTACACTAATCTAAGCATGTTTTACCACATATAAGAAACAATTTAAGTTTGATAATACACATATTTTTTTTTGTATTTCAATGAGCAGAATAATTGTATTTCTGATGTTTTGTGACTTAATGTAATCCACTTCATCAGACTAAATAAATAACCGAAATTTGCTCTGAAGAAGTGCCTTATATTAAGTTACGAAACGTCAAAAATACAAATTTCCTACTTATTATTCACTCCCTACCTAATACTCAATTTATTTGAAACTATCAAATCCAACCTTTGTATTGATTCAATGAACAAGAACACATGTGGAGATAGTCGAATGTATTTGAGCACAAAGTTACATAATCTGTTAATCATACAGTAAATTGTTCATTTACAAAATGTTAGTCAATTATCTCAGATTTGATTGTTCCTCTGTTTCCACATCAATCATTCACTTTTCCTTAATCTTCTTAACTTTCTTTCACCAAACATTTCATTTTTGATCAATGGTACATACTACTTATATCAATTGACATTAGTAGCTGCCCAGGACAAGGTTGGATAGAGAATGCTAGTGAGTGGCTTATATATTCCTTCACGAGGAGTAACAGGCTTAAGTAAGTAAGTAAGTATATCAGTAGCATATATCACATTGATATCAATTTAAGATTGATATCCATTATTATAATGTATAGATTATTACTTACCAATATCTAAACTTTGTAAACGTAATTTTTTCATTTCTATTTCTTGATTACATTTAATCATATATAAATTCCATGAAATCAGATAAATGATCCACATAATGAATATAAATAATAATCTTATTAAATACATATAATAATTTATTCCCTAATATATGAATCGAATATTACGTCTTTGAATATAACAGATACATTTTAATTCCCTTCTATCTGTTTGTCTCACTATCTGTCTGTCTGTCAGTCAGTCTGTCGTCTGTCTGCCTATCTATTATGTTCCGTTTTTATTATTATGTAAGAGATGGATTATGTAAGCCGATGAAATTACTCCTCATTTCATCAACAATAAATGTAGTATTAGTATTAGTAGTAGCAGTAGTAGTAATAGTAGTAGTAGTAGTAGTAGTAGTAGTAGTAGTAGTAGTAGTAGTAGTGGTAGTGGTAGTAGTAGTAGTTGTTGTTGTAGTAATAATATTAGTAGTATTAATAGTAATACCAATTAGATGATAATTATTAATAAGATAACCTTTTAATAATAATTCATCATATAAATTTATTCATTTAATAATAAACTAATAAAATTCAAACTAAATTCTGATTGGTTCATTTTGAATAGAGAAAGAACACAACAACAACAACAACAGCAACAAAAAAGAATAAAAAAAAAGAAAAAGGAAATCACCATGTTCTATACAAAATAGAAAACAGTCTAACAAAAATGATCAAAATAATAAATTCTATGAGAAAGAAGAGAATGAATGACAAGAAGATGTTTTGTTTTTTTCTTTTGTGTGTTTTTTTTCGTTACTTTTTTTCTCTACTTTTATTTTCTCTTCATTATCTTCATATTAGTAAATATGTAGTATGAAAGCGAGGGTGGGGGGGGGTAGAAGGGTCAATGATTCTTTCAACTGGAAAATTTATTATTTATTAATTAATTTGATTAGATTATCTTATTTTAAATTATTTTACAGGTAAAATGATACAAGTCAATGATTTACTTTAGCCTACTGTTTATGATTATAATGATAATAGTAAAGAGAACAACAATGGAGAAAGGATAGCAACAATTGAATGAATTAAGAAAAAAAACAACAATCTTTTCTTTTGATTAAAAAATTAAGGTTAATGATATATTGTATTTGTCAGTTATAATAATAAGTAGTTGAAGAAAACAACTATCTATCAATGAATATCACATAGTGAAAAACTTCAATATGAATATCAAGACAGTTAGTTCTGGTATACAGAGTTGAAACTTTGAAAAGTACTACTACAACTATCATCAAAAACATACAAGTATTTATAAACAATTGCCTACATAAGACACTGAATGTTCATTGGTTGAATATCATAGGCAACAGTTTACTGTAGGAGAAGACAAACCAGATCTCAACTGAACAGGAAATTAGGAAAAGATATTGAAAGTGGATAGGATATACATTGAGGAAATTACGAAATTGCATCAAAAGACAAGCATTAACTAAGAATCCTGAAAGGAAACGATTAAGCGGAAGATCAAAGAACACACTACGTTGAGAAGTAAAAGCAGACATGAAAAAAAGGATGAATAGCAACTGGAACTAACCGGAAAGGATTACCCGGAACAGAGTTGGATGATGAATGCTGATGAGCGACCTATGATTCTCCATAAGGTGTAACAGGTACAAGTAAGTAAGTAAAAAAGATTTGATATTACAATTTTTGGTCATAAAATTAAATATTAAACTGTTTAAGAGTAATGAGTAAAAACATTTATTTCTTTATTTGTTAAGATGTATTATACCTTTGAAATAGATGAAATGAATAAGAAGGTGTCATGTTTGACTGTTAACATGGTATACTGATTGTTTGTTGGTACAAATATTCCAATCCATTTCAATTCCTTAGCTGTTACACAGATTTACACTGTATAATTAAAATAACTTATAGTGTCATTCAATAGAAATAAAGAGAATTCAGTAAACTCACTTGATATTGTTTGGCTGTTTGAATCTTCTGATTGATATTTAGGACTGCAAATGATCAGTCTCTTACTGGTATATGTGCATCCTGTGTGGACAACCTCTATATTGCGTTAATTCACAATCATTATGAGCAAAGATGGATAGTGGATAGCAGTGGAATCCAGTTTGACGTGCTTTTTGTTCTATTTGGGATTCGTCAGCTAGATGTACTTGTACTTTAGAGTTGACATCCACTCTGGGATTTGGATTCAGTACCGTTCACTTCAAACGCCATCATGTTATCTACTTAGCTATTGAGTTCTGATAGCCACTTGCTTGTGTAATGGGTAAAATAATTACTAGATCGATATACGTGCATCAACTATGAACATATGGCACCATAAGAGTCTTCTTTCAAAAGAAAATAATCTACACAGTAAAAGGGATTGGATAGTAGGGAACTTGAATCATTGATTGCTGAGACATAATATCGATTGATGAAATGAATTATTATTCTAGAACAACATCTAGTCCAGTTGAAAATCATTATCAATTAATAAATTAACCAAATCTCGGGTCAACATCGACATTAACGAAGTACCCAATATTACTAAAATGTCAATGACTGACTATGTACTGACAAATTGTTTCGATCAATTAAGCAGAGGATAATAAAGATCACATGTAACAAAGAAAGTTTTCTATAGGTTATCATGTAGACATACTTAAAGTAATTAAAACTGTTTAATGATTGAGATGATGAACCGATTGATGTTAGACCACCATTTCAAACCTGGAAGTACTGAACGGCCCGCTTCGTCCCAGCATGTGATTCCTCAACAGTGTGCACCCATGATCCCGTTTCGCGAGATTCAAACTCAGAACCCATGTCTCGCGCTCGAGCGCGTCACCGTCATCATTGTTTTCAGTGAGCTGACATCTCACAACAGACCTGATTGAACTCCAATGGTCACGGCTTCTCACTAGAACTCCAGGAGTGTCTCTCTTGAAGTCATTCACTAGTGAGCAAATGATTATTAATAGAAGGGGTTTTGTGGAGACCACCATAGTGGTCTAGCTTCAGTTGACTCATGATTTCAACTATTGAAATTACTAAAGTCTCCACAAAACCCCTGCTGATATTATCTAGTTATTATTATTATTTATGACCTTTATATTTGTCGTTTTTCTTCATATCTGTCAATTGGACAATTATCTTTCATAATGCAGACCCGTAAATTATTTTCATCATTATATTTTTCTCTTACCCCTTGATTATTGCGTAACCTCCTCTGATAGTAGGGTTTCGAATCAATTTGTGATGCAATCTTTTCTATCCTTCTTTAAACATATATTTAATATCAGAAAAGGTATTTTGTGGAGATTATAGTAATTTAATAATTGAATTCACGAGTCAATTAAAGCTAGACCACTGCTGAGTAATCTCATACTGGGACGAAACGGGCCGTCCAGTACTTCCATAGTGTACATGGTGGTCTAGCTTTAACTGACTCATGAATTGAGCACATAGATTTTCCACAGTAACTATAAATACGAATGTAAAGCTTAAGTGAATGTTTTCGATGTGAAGAGAATTTTCTTCGCTGAATTCTCTTTATTCTTTCACCTTCTATCCTCAAATATAATAATATCAAATATAACGAGAATTATTATTGTATTCAATAGATTATCATTAATAACAAGATATAGTCAGAGTGTTATTAATGCATCATTAATGTACCGGATTCGTTGTTTGCAATCTGCTGTACTAAATTAAAGTTTTCAAAGTAGGGTTGTGGAGATTTTTAAGTTATTGATTGAGGTCATGAACCGATTGATGTTAGACCATCATTGAAAAACTGTAAGCATTGGACGGCTGTTTCGTCGAATCCCGCGAGCGGGATCGTGACTGCGCACTGCTGAGTAATACCACAATAGGACAAAACGGCAGTCTAGTGCTTCCAGGTTTGAAATGGTGGTCTAACATCAATCGGTTCATCATCTCAATCATTAAACAGTTCTAATTACTTTAAGTATGTCTACATGATGATGTCCATATCGATCCGAGATTTAATTAATTTACTTACTTACTTACTTACTTACTTACGCCTGTTACTCCCAATGGAGCATAGGCCGCCGACCAGCATTCTCCAACCCACTCTGTCCTGGGCCTTCTTTTCTAGTTCCATCCAATTCTTGTTCATTCTTCTCATATCTATCTCCATTTCCCGGGGTAATGTATTCCTTGGTCTTCCTCTCCTCCTTCGACCTTGAGGATTCCATATGAGGGCTTGTCTTGTGACGCAGTTCGGTGCTTTCCTCAATGTGTGTCCTATCCATATCCAGCGCTTCTTCTTGATTTCTTCCTCCACTGGGATCTGATTTGTTCTCTCCCATAGTAGGTTGTTGTTGATAGTGTTCGGCCAGCGGATCTGAAGATTCAATTAATTTATTGATTGATAATGATTTTCAACTGGACTAGATGTTGTTCTAGAATAATAATTCATTACATCATTCAATATTATGCCGTATTAACGCCTATATACCCCATGATAGTTTATATACTTATTACAATTATGTATTTTCTCAGGTAATAGTGTGTTATTATTCAGTAGTGTTAGATTCAAACAGCTATGAAACTTATCACCTAGAAATTCTGTGGAATTTGATCGTCTCTCTTAAATAGTAACCATCTATGTATAAAACACACAAGTCTATACTGATCGGTCACGTTTTAGGACACATGTAATATTATTACCTTTCTTTTATTGCTCCTAGACTAAATAAGTATTAGAAATCAAGATGTAATTGATCTGACTTAAGTCGGTTGTACACAGTTAATATAAACACATAAACGTAAATCGTCACTCATTAACAACGTGTATCTGGAATCTTCAAAGTATTCAAAACTGTATCTTTCAATTGTAGAAATTTATGTTATATGAAGTGAATCATTATAAAATGATGATAACAACTCACAAGTAATACTGAATTGTAATCATAACATATCAACGTTTATGTCCAGGATACCAGGTAACCTCGTAAAAAAATAGAACTGTAAGCTATAAAGATTTATGTGTATAGACGTACATCTAGTAGTTCTTCTATAATGCTAACTATA